AGCAATAGCCTTCATCCTTTTGTATATTTATACAAAGTCATCTTATTGCCCCCACAAACTGGGTCCTCAATTTACCTACCTTAGAAAGGATGGAAGGCTGAGTCAACCTTGAGCCTTGGCAAGATTCGAACCTGCAGTAATTGCAGACAGCTGGTCTTAATAACCAGTTTAATGACAGGGTGCCTTAGACCACTGTACTACCAAGGCTCTGGTTGAAAGAGGCACTATAAAGAAGAAAGAAACACTTGAAAGAAATACGACTGGGGCCAGATAGATACTTGAATTCAGAGAATTCTTAAACATGAAATTGAAACCAGAAAGTTTCCTTTTAAGGCTTGATGGGCAAACAAACTGAAATAAAACATGGGACTCTGTTTTCATATATGATAACAACAGCAAGACTCTTGTATGCACAGAGATGAAAGAATTTACAAATTCCTACAGTAGAAGAAGGGATAGTGAAAATGATGGAGCAGCAGAGAGAGCAGAACTGAAAAGGCAAAATTAGTTTCTATTTGGAAACCGGATTAGAATTTTTTGCTTGAAACGGGAAATAAATAATAATCAGATTTTAACCTTGGGATTTGACAATTACAATTATTTATAAGTATAAAATAGTTGTAATCATCAAATCCCAAAGTTAAAGATTAATTTTAGAGTTTGAAGGGCTACTGCACTTTATATTTGTATATTTGTATATTTTTTTATTTCCCTTTTTCCCTGTGCTCTCCTCCTTTTAATTTACTTCTTTTCTTTCTTTCTTTCTTTCTTTCTTTCTTTCTTTCTTTCTTTCTTTCTTTCTTTCTTTCCTTCCTTCCTTCCTCCTTTCTTTCCTCCTTTCTTTCTTTTCCTTCCTTCCTTCTTTTCCTTCCTTCCTTCCTTCTTTCTTTTCCTTCCTTCCTCCTTTCTTTCCTCCTTTCTTTCTTTCTTTTCCTTCCTTCCTTCTCTTTCTTTTCCTTCCTTCTTTTCCTTCCTTCCTTCCTTTCTTTCTCTTCCTTTCTTTCTCTTTCTTTCTTTCTTTCTCTTTCTTTCTTTCTTTCTTTCTTTCTTTTTTATCTCTTGTTGCACTTAATAAACTCCTGTGAAAAGAAAGAATGTTTGGCTTCGCAGTCTTTTTCAGAGGATTATTACCGTATCAGCAGTTGATAAACAAAAAACTACTGGTTTTTATTTGCACAAAGATTTTCAACACAAATCTTTTGTAATAGAATTCTTTTGCAAACCCTAACTTGAGTGTGGCTGCTGCCAATATCAAACTAATGAGAGGGCTTAGAAGAGTAAAGTCTACAACAAATAGTTGTAGCAAAGGGGCTCTAGTATAGTGAAAAGGAAGACTAGGGATGACAGGATAACAGTGTTCCAGTATTTGAGGGGCTGCCACAAAGAAGGGGGGAGGGGGGCAGTCGAGCTATTCTCCAAAGCACCTGAGGGAAAGACAAGAAGCAATGGATGGAAAGTAACCAAGGAAAGAAGCAACCTAGAACTAAGGGGAAATTTCCTGACAGTGAGAACAATCAATCAGTGGAACATCTTGCCTTCAGAAGTTGTAGGTGCTGCATCATTGGAGGCTTTTGAGAAGAGACTGGACAGCCATTTATCTAAAAATGATATTATAAAGCCTCCTGCTTGAGCAAGGGGTTGGACTAGAAGACCTCCAAGGTCCCTTCCAACTTATTTATTCCAGTGGTGAAATTCAAAAATTTTTTACTACCAGTTCTGTGGGCGTGGCTTGGTGGGTGTGGTGTGGCTTGGTGGGCATGGCAGGGGAAGGATACTGCAAAATCCGCATTCCCTCTCCACTCCTGGGGTGAAGCATATTGCAAAATCTCCATTCCCACCCCACTCTGGGACCAGCCAGAGATGGTATTTGCTGGTTCTCTGAACTACTGAAAATTTTCACTACCGGTTCTCCAGAACCTGTCAGAACCTGCTGGATTTCACCCCTGACTTATTCTGTATATAAACCAGGCTCTGTCTTCTAGACCTTGGGTCAAATTGCACCAAATTGGTGGTTAGATCTTTCGGGAAAGATTTTAGTGGTTTAATTGATGGCTGTTTTTCTTTGGTCTTTCATTTAGGATGACGTATTGTGCACCTTCATTGTTTTCACTGCTGTGTCCTGAAAACAGCCTAGACTCCTACAGACTTGGGGCATCCCATAAGTTGAGTGAGTAAATAAATAAATAGATAAATAGATAAATAAATGTTAAATGTTTTAAACGTTTTTAATTGGTAAATGAGTTTTAATTGGGCCAAATTTATATATCTTTTAATTGTTTTTAATATTTGTTCTGCATGTTTTTTTTAATCTGGCTGTACACCGCCCTGAGTCCTTAGGGAGAAGGGCGGTATAGAAATCCAATATAAAATAAAAATAAAATAAATAAATAAATAAAGGCTAGGGTTAGGCAGTCCATTGTCCCCGGTCTGCCTGCGGTTCTCAGGTTTGCTTGTTTTTCTGCTGAAAATTCTCAGTGTGGTTTCCTCCTATTACAATCTCCATGAGAAGCTGCAATGTTTTAATTGTGAGGCAGTTTCCCCAGTACCTAAACTACAGTATTGTGGCAACAGAAATGCTGCCATAGCTGCAACAATGAGGACTGATTATGAACCTTCTCATTCAGGGCCATTGTAAACTTTCAAATAGTTGCTAAAACAAATGGTTATTGACCAAGAAATACCTGAGGAGCGTGGTGGCACAGTGGTCAGAATGCAGTATTGCAGGCTAATTCTGCCGACTGCCAACAGTTCGACAGTTTGAGTGTTACCAGGCTCAAGGTTGACTCAGCCTTTCATCCTTCCGAGGTCGGTAAAAATGAGGATCCAGATTATTGGGGGGTAAATATGCCGACTCTGTAAACCTCTTACAGAGGGTAGTTAAAGCACTGTGAAGCGGTATATAAGTCTAAGCGCTGTTGCTGTTGCTACAGGCTTTGGAACTCTAAGTAAAAGAAAACATAGATAAACAATAACAGATCAGATGCAGCAGTTCTAAAACAAGCAAGAACAAGAAACAAACGTACATCATTTCTATACAGGTAGCCCTTGACTTACAACGGTTCATTTAGTGACTGTTTGAAGTTACAACAGCAGTGGGGAAAAAAATGACTTACGGCCATTTTTCACACTTACGACCATTGCAGCATTCCCAGTGTCACATGATCAAAATTCAGATGCTTGGCAACTGACTCACATTTATGACCGTTACAGTGTCCCGGGGGGGGGGAGGTGTCACATGATCTCCTTTTGCATCTGTTCTGCCCCAGCTACGGACCCCAAAGAACGCAGCACACACAAAGTCCGTACAAACCTTAGTTTACTAATTAAAGACTACTAATGAGCTTTTTTAGTAGTTGTTCGGACACAAGTACAGTTTAAATCAGTCTTTTCTGAACAAGGGCTGTTAATTTAACTTCATTAACAGCCGACAAGAATCCAAAGAATAATAACTCAATTCTGAGGCACAGTATTTCAGATAACCGTAATCTTCCTGTGGTTGGCAGAATGCCCAGAAGCAATTTGCAGGAAAACTGACAAGAGAGAAACAAAAGCCGAATCAAACTTTTCTGGAATCAAGACGCGAAGGAATATGAACAAAGTTGTTTCCTGCAAATAGCATCAGTCCTTGTCCTTCCTTAAATAGGCTAGGGGAGTGGCCAATTAGCCCCAAGTCTTACTCTCGAGGAGACCTCCTCCTGAGGAACCACTCCTGCCTTTTAACAGCTCTGCGTACTCGTGCATCGAGAAGAGGTTCCTCTTCTTCCTTTTCACTTATGGGAGCTTCTGGAGGTTCTGAAGGCCCTGGCTGAATCCCTGCCTCTGGCACCAAATCTTCTCCAGCCTCCTCATTGTCTGACTCGAGCACCAGCTGCACAGGCTGCTGGCGCAGCACCACACCAGCCTCCTTGCTGTCAGAATCATCTACTAACTGTACAGGCCACTGACAGGCTACAACAGCATCCTTCTGACAAGAGAAGTCAGTGGGGAAGCCAGATTCCCTTAACATCTGTGTTATTACCTTAACAATTGCACTGATTCACTTAACAACAGTGGCAAGAAAGGTGGTAAGATGGGTCAAAACTCACTTAACAACAGTCTCACTTAGCAACAGAAATTTTGGGCTCAATTGTGGTTGTAAGTCGGGGAACTTATCAGAACAGGTAGTCCTTAACTTATAACTGTTCATTTAGTGACCGTTTGAAGTTACAACACCACTGATTTACAACCGTCACAGTGTTCCCACAGTTAAATTTGGGCGGTTGGCAACCAGCTTGTATTGAAAGCTGTATCCCAGGGTCATGCGGTCGCCATCTGTGACCTTCCTAGCAGGTTTCCGACGAGCAACCTCAATGAGGGAGCTGCATTTGTTTAATGACCACACGATTCGCTTAACAACCATGGCAAAAAAAAAGTCATGAATTTGGATGCAATTCACTTAACAACCGCCTTGCTTAACCATGGGAATTCCGGTCCCAGTTGTGACTATAAGTCGAGCATTACATCTACCTAAGAGAAGAGAAACAACAGTTTTTATTTTTGATGGCAGTCTCTTATCTGATTTGCAAAGCTCTTCATTTTTTTTTTTAAATTAAAAAATTGCACAGAAATAATGGTGGTTCCCCTTGCTTTTGACCCCTGCCATCGCACCAATAACACCGACCATAGGTGAAGGTTTTGTAGGAGCATTAAAACCAGGTTTGAGTGCGGGAACGTGCTAGTGAGGTTTGCCTAGCCCGGCCGAACTGCGTAAGGCTGACAAAAGGAGGAGTTTGTGGGTTTAAAGATTCAAATGTCTGCCTGACCCTCAGCCTTTTGCCCAGCTAAGTAGACTTTCAAATCATTTTCCAATAAGCCAGATTTTGGCTTTTGGCTGAACCTTTGTCAACCTAGATGTGTATCAATAGATTTATCATTTCCCACAACTCAGCTGCTTTCTCAGGGAGGGGCCAGTCCATCACATGATGGGAAGGAGGCCAAAACATTTATAAGTACGGTAGCACAGAATTGCATTCCACCTGCAGTAACGAAAGCAAGAGCAGGGAAAGAGAAAAGGAGCGGGAATGCAGTGTCTCGGCTCATATGTCCACCTTCTCCTCTTCCTGGGGGCGTTTTCTGCAGGTAGGGTGTGATATTCCAGACCCGGTTGCAAATTTGCCCCAAAACTTAATACTATCCCCCTGCTTATAGACTGCTAAGCTTTTTGGCTAAAGGTGCAAAAGCTCCGCTTCTATCCTCCTTAAATGTATTGTTGCATGCTGAGAGAGTTTGCTTTCACAATGTTTTTTCAAAAAAAAAAAAAAAGTTGAGGCAAAAGGTCCCAGAAGTGAATTTCCCCCCTTCTACAATATTCCGTATTGTTTGATGCGTTATATTCCCCTTTGGCCATTATTTGGTATTTCATGGTTGAAGCGGCAACAAAAAGTTCATATTTGGTTGCGTGGAGTTAGGAAGGCTGGAGCGAAACAGGGTCAGGTCTACTTCAGTTAGGGGGGGCTCATTCAGACAGATGGAGCTGAGGGGTTCTTTCAGCCCAGCCTACAATACAGGGTTGTTTTCTGGGAATGGAGTGAAGAGAGATGCCCACAGAACTGACTGCATGATACTGGAAGAAAGTGGGGGGGGGGGTCAGAGGAGGAGGGGGAGGAGGAGGAGGAAGAGAAGAAGAACAAGAACAAGAACAAGAAGAGGAGGAGGAGGAAGAGAAGAAGAAGAGGGAAGAAGAAGAGGAGGAAGAGAAGGAAGAAGAAGAAGATGATGAAGAAGAAGAAGAACAATAACAACAACAAGAAGAAGAACAAGAAGAGGAGGAGGAGGAAGAGAAGAAGAAGAGGAAGAAGAGGAGGAGGAAGAGAACGAAGAAGATGATGATGAAGATGAAGAAGAAGAACAAGAACAAGAAGAGGAGGGGGAAGAGAAAAAGAGGAAGAAGAGGAGGAGGAAGAAGAGAAGGAAGAAGAAGATGATGATGAAGAAGAAGAAGAACAAGAAGAAGAACAAGAACAAGAAGAGGAGGAGGGGGAAGAGAAAAAGAGGAAGAAGAAGAGGAGAAGGAGGAGGAGGAGGAGAGAAGGAAGAAGAAGATGATGATGAAGAAGAACAAGAACAAGAAGAGGAGGAGGAGGAAGAGAAGAAGAAGAGGAGGAAGAAGAAGAAGAGGGGAGGAGGAGGAGGAGAAGAAAGAAAGAAAGAAAGAAAGAAAGAAAGAAAGAAAGAAAGAAAGAAAGAAAGAAAAAAAAGAAAGAAAGAAAGAACCTAAGTAACAACCAAGGTGACTGTGGACATGCCAATGCATTCTCTGACATCTACCAAACTCCCTGCCTTACCTAATTATATTACATTGTTTTTTATTGAATACTTTATTGAAATGAATAAGAAGGAAGCCTACTCTCCAAGCACTCTCCCCCCCCCCAGCATAAACTGTATTTTGAACAATGCTTGGAACTTGGCAGCCTCATGTAGACCCCCATTCTTCAAAAATAAATCAATGAGGCCGAGTAGCCCACGCCCACCATGGCCACGCCCACCCAGCAACTGGGCAGAGAACCAGTTGCTAAAAGTTTTGAATCCCACTCCTGGTCCCAAGACACATCAGGTCTTGTTACTCAGCGGTCCCCAACCTTTCCGGCTTGGCAGCCTGTCACAGAAGAGGGGAGAGGGCATGGTTCTGTGAGAGTGGACTGGAGCCTTGCGTGCAAACGCAAATACCCGCCACTCGCACGAGTGGAGCATTGTGCACACAAAACGCGCCTGTCGCTTGCGCAGCCCGGTTCTAAACCGGCCACAGCCCGGTAGAGGTCTGCAGCCCGGGGTTTGGGGGACCCTGCTGTTACCGATCTCCCTGCAGAGTTCTATTTTTTAATTGATGGATGAAACTCCATCATGATGGATGGACTGCCATCTGTCAGAGATGGTGTAGAGCAGAGGTGTCAAACTCAAGGCCCGCGGGATGGATGCGGCCCACAGGGTGCTTAGATCTGGCCTGTGGGGCCGCCCTGGAAACAGTGAAGGACTGGCCTGCAGTGCCTCTGCCAGTGGCTGCACATCAGTGGTGGGTTGCCCCCCGGTTCGCACCGGTTCTACAGAACCGGTAGTAAAACCGGCGGGAGGCCCCGCCCACCGATCCCGACGTCACCAAAATGCTTCTGCGCATGCGCAGAAGAGCGCACGGCCCCGTTGCGAACTGGTAGTAAAGGTAAGTAGAACCCACCCCTGCTGCGCATGGCCCTCCTGAGCTCCATTTTCGCTAGCAGAGGGCTGCAGGAGGATCCCCCAGCCCTGCCCGGGCCACCACACGTGCCCCAGACACGAGTGACATCGAGCCGGCCACGCCTCCTGGCCATGTCACCCCCAGCCCCACGAGGTCAAATACAACCTTGATGCGGCCCTCAATGAAATTGAATTGGACACCCCTGGTGTAGAGTCTCCTGCTTGGGGGGGGTTAGACTAGATGACCTACAAGGTCCCTTCCAACTCTGTTAATCTGTTCAAGACTCTATAATGAGACACTAGATCGCTATTTCTCAGCCCTGGCTGCTTTAAGATGTGTGGACGTCAACGCCCAGAATTCCTCAAGTCAGCATGGCTGGCTGAGGAATTCTGGGCGTTGAAGTCCACACATCTTAAAGCGGCCATGTTTGAGAAACACTGGTCTAGGTTAAAAATTGGCTAAAAGTAAACGATCCCTGACCCTCCTAACTGATTATTTATTTACTTATTTTATTTATTTATTGCGATTTATATGCCGCCTTTCTCCCTAGGGACTCAAGGCGGCTTACAAAATGACAACTTCAATACGAATCACAATACAATACAAAATTAAAATCAGTAACCCAGTTAAAAAAACGATTTAAAATTATCCCAGTGTACCCCCAAACGGATCAGTTTAATTATTATCTCTCTCTGGTTGGGGAATTCCCCCATCTGAAAAGTGTGTCAACATTGTGACACACTTTTGGCTGAGAAGTCTGAGACAAGTCAATACTTGCAGAAGAAGAAAGAGCTTAGCTGCCAGCTTGGATTGGATCATGGCCTATTTAAAAACATTTGCTGCGCAATCAGATATGATTTGCAGTCTTTTTTCCCCCTTTTTTTTCACAGTTAGTCCTCGACTTACAGCCATTTCTTTAGTAACTGTTTGAAGTTACAGCAGACTTATGACCATTTTTCACACTTACAACTGTTGTAGCATCCCATGGTCACATGATCAAAATCCGTACACTAGACAGTTGCAGTCTCTTGGGGAGTCACATGATCCCCTTTTTCAATCTTCTGACAAGCAGCGTCAATGGGGAAGCCAGATTCACTTAACAACCACCTTACTAACTTGACAATTGCAATGATTCACTTAACAACGGTGGCAAGAAAGGTTATAAAATGGGGCAAAACTCACTTAACAACTGTCTGGCTTAGCCAGGGAAATTTTGGGCTCAAGTGTGGCCATAAATCAAGGACTACCTGTATTTATTCTATGCATTAGCAGTTAACAAAACCATCTTTAATCTTAAAAAAAAAAACTAAAAACACAAACACTAAGAAAGAATAGAAACAAAAGGTGGGTTTCAGCAGGTTCTGACCAGTTCTGGAAAACCGGTAGTGGAAATTTTGAGTAGTTCGCAGAACCGGTAGTAAAAATTCTGACTGGCCCCACCCCCATCTATCCTCTGCCTCCCAAGTCCCAGCTGATCAGGAGGAAATGGGGATTTTGCAGTAACCTTCCCCTGGAGTGGGGTGGGAATGGAGATTTTACAGTATCCTTCCCCTGCCACGCCCACCAAGCCACGCCCACCAAGCCACACCCATAGAACCAGTAGTAAAAAAATTTGAAACCCACCACTGCCAAGGATCATAAATCACCTAAGACTCATCTCTTCCTTGGAATTCCTTGACTTGACTTTGGACTGCTTGAAACTTGGCATTCACCTGTAAAGTCCTTACCTGTGATTAATTGTTTGTTTTTCTGCCGTTGCCTTTCTGCTATGTCTATGGCCTTGGTGTTGGGATTTACGGAAACAGCTCTTCCCTTTAACATTGTGGGTGCCTAGCTCCTGAACGGGTGCTAAAAAAGCCAGGATGCAAAAAAAAAAAAAGAAAAAAAAGAAAAATGGAATTCAGGGTAGCATACAACAACAATCAAAACAATATCACAATCATAAGAACACTTTAAACATAATAAAAATAAATTAAAGGCAAGATTGTCGCTGTCCCTCTGGGACTGGAATTCAGAGGCGTTGTCTCCATTACTTCCAGTTTCCATAATGCTTCTTCATTTCATATAAAAAAGTAAATACAGGCAGTCCTTGACTTACAACAGCTCATTTAGTGACCATTCAAGGTTACAACCGCACTGAAAAAAAGTGACTTATGACCGTTTTTCACACTTACGACCGTTACAGCGTTCCCATGATCCCATGATCAAAATTCAGATGCTTGGCCACTGATTCATATGTATGATGGGTTGGAGCGTCCCGGGGGTCATGCGATCCCGTTTTGCGACCGTCTAACAAGCCAAGTTAATGGGGAAGCCAGATTCACTTAACAACCGTGTTACTAACTTAAGAACGACAGAGATTCACTTAACCGTGGTGGCAAGAAAGTTCGTAAAATGGGGCCAAACTCACTTAACAACTGTCTTGTTTAGCAACAGATGTTTTGGGCTCAACTGTGGTCATTAAGTCGAAGACTACCTGATTCGCGAAGAGCTCTGTGATCAACCGTGGATTTGAATCTGGGTTTTCCCAGGACCATTCTGTTGGCAGAAATATCCAACTGGTTCCGTTCCAAGCCCAGAGAAAGACACTGGAAACATGGAAGCTGATTGGAAAGAGGGTTTAATGGTGAACAGAACCACCAAGCACATGGTCCTGGTGCAGTTGACCACATGGAGTGAAGAGTGGGGTTATTTTATACCTTTTCTTGGGCTTTGAACTTGAACTTCCTGTTCCTGTGCAAGAACATGTATTCTATTGGCTGTTGTCAGATTCCTATGGGGTCATGTTTGTCTGAGCTCCCAGGTTTGGTTGAAGTTTGCTGGGTGATGCAATGTCCTTAGGACAGGGGTGGGCAAATGTGGCCCTTTTACAATCTGTGGACTTCAACTCCCAGAATTCCTGAGACAGCCAAGCTTTTTAAAAAGCCTCTGCTGATCAGGAAACTCAGCTTGGATCATCAGAGGCATTTAAAAGAAAAAAAGGGTTTTTTTCTTTTAAAAGCCTTTGATGATCCCAGCTGAGCCGCGCGATCATCAGAGGCTTTTTTTTTTACTTTTAAAAGCATTTTTTAGCCAAAGAGATTGTAGAAAAAATGCTTTTAAAAGTAAAAAAAAAAGCCTCTGATGATTGTGCGGCTCAGCTAGGCATGGGGGGGGGCAGGGATTTTTGCTACCGATTCTCCGAACCACCCACCTCCATCGCTACCGGATCAGGCAATCCAGTCCGAACTGGGAGCACTTCACCCCTGAGCTGAAGGTCTTTTGTCTTGTAGATAAACTGGCCCAGTCCTGCTGGGGCTATTAACAAAGGTGGGAGCTGCTTTCCAAGAGCATGTTACTCCTTTAGGGAAATATAAATATTCTGCCTTTTTAAATATTTCCTAAAATATTTCATTCTTCTGGGAGAGGGGTGGGTGCTAACTTTGTACAAGTCTGATTGTACATTTTCACCACTTTCCACTCTGCTTTCTTTCTAGGTACAGTTGATGGAGCCTGCGATCCTAAAGCTGCTGAGATCGTAGGAGGCAGTTATAATCTCCTGAAAGATGGAACCACCTTGATCTATGACTGTCCTCAGGGACAGTATCCCTATCCGACACAATTCCGGTTTTGTAAGGATGACAACCAGTGGAGCCCCTTGACGGGCAGGGACGGCAGGACTGTTGAGCAGGCTGAGTGTCGAGGTACGGTGGGTTCATTTCTCAAAAGAGAGGCATCGTATGACGTCTCCCCTCTTCCTCTCATATTTATTTATTTGTCAAGAACGTATTTGGTAATAAGTCTAAGCATGGATTGGATGCATAAAATCGATACAAATAGAAGAAACATGAGGACAGGGACGCTGTGTGCGCTTATGCATGCCCCCTTACAGACCTCTTAGGAATGGGTGAGGTCAACAGTAACCAGTCTTAGGTTAAAATTTGGGAGGGGGGGTTGGGATGAAACCACAGAGTCAGGTAGTGCATTCCAGACATTGACCACTCTGTTACTGAAGTCATATTTTCTGCAATCGAGCTTGCAGCGGTTCATTTAAAGTTTGTGTCTATTGTGTGCTCGTGTATTGTTGTGATTGAAGCTGAAGTAGTCATTGAGAGATAGGACATTGCAGCAGATAATTTTATGAGCTTAGGTCATACCGAAGGCAGCGTAGTTCTAAATTTTCTACACCCAAAATTTCAAGCCTGGTGGCATAAGGTATTTTATTGCAAGCAGAAGAGTGGAGGATATGTTATCGCCAACCAAGTCCCGGGTTTTCCACCAGAGGCCTTTTTGTAACTGTATAAAAAAAACTTCGTGGGAGTCACTAGCAGGCTTATCAAAGTGCAAAAGCATATTTACTTTACTTTTATCTATTGTATGGAAAACGTTTATAAAAACAACTCTGGGCTGCTTACAAGCAATAAAACAATATTCATCAGAATAAAACGAACAACAATAAGGCATGTAACCCTGAAGCATCCTCCCTCCTTTTAATTTTTAACTTAGTGTTTTTAGATGGCTCCCATTTCCCTGAACCTGATATGTATTGTGTTTTAATGTGATTTTCATGATTTTTATCTGTAAACCGCCCAGAGTCACTCTAAGAGCGAGAGGGGCAGTATTTGTGCTTGATAAATGAATAAATAGAATCCCTGGTGGTGCAGTGGTAAGAATGCAGTATTGCAGGCAAATTCTGCCCAAAGTCTGGAGTTCGATCCTGACCAGCCCAAGGCTGACTCAGCCTTCCACCCTTCTGAGGTCAGCAAAACGAGAAGCCCGATTGTTGGAGGCAATACGCAAATAAGGGTTACATTATAAAACACCCAGAGAGTGTTGTATGGAGTGGCAGTGGTGAAATGCTACCAGTTTGCACCAGTTCCAACAAACCGGTAGTGATAAATCTACCAGTTTGGGCAAACCAATAGTAAAAAAAAAAGCTACCGATTCCTCCGAACCGGTATTTCCGATGATCAGCTGTGCCGCACAATTTAAAATTGCTATAAAGCAGGAAATCCTGCTTTCTAGTGAATCTAAATCACGCAGCACAGCTGATCCCCCGCCCTCACTGCTCTACTTACCTTCCCAAGCCTCCTTTTGGCGCGTACTGTGTATGTGTGCGTGCGCGCAGTGCACATTTGGTGTGCACGGTACATGCCCGTGCAGCGTGTGTTCGTGCATGCCTGCACCGCTTGTTTGTCACACGGCACACATGCGTGTGCATGCAGTGTGCATTTGGCGCACAGGATGCATGCGCAGCCCAGTGAACCCGTGGCAAACCGGTTCAGATTTCACCACTGTGGGGTGGTATATAAATATACACGTCTGAATGCTATTGCTATTGTTAGGGTTGAGCCCCAAATTTCCATTTGCTAAGCAAGACAGTTTTCCCCCATTTTACGATCTTTCCTGCCTCAGTTGTTAAGTCAGGGGTCAGCAACCTGCGGCTCCGGAGCCACATGGGTCTCTTTGGGCTCTCTGCTGTGGCTCCCTGTCGGGCGATCTCACCACTGGCTGGCCCCGCCCCTCAACCCTCCCCTCCCAGTCACTCCTCGCCTGGCCTGAGAAGGTAAGGGCGATGGCGGGATGGAGAAGCGGCCAGGCCAAGGTGGTTGTTAAATGAATCTGGCTTCCCCATTGAGTTTGCTTGTCTGAAGGTCGCAAAAGAGTGGATCACATGACCCCACGACACTGTAATTATCATAAATATAAGCCAGTTGCCAAGCAACCACATTTTGATCACATGACCATGGGCATGCCACAACAGTGGCATGTGAAAATGGTCATAAATCACTTTTTTCAGTGCCATTGTAACTTTGAACAATCATAAGCCATAGCACTTAGATTTATTTACTGCTTGATAGTACTTTATAGTACCGTGTAAACAGTTTACAGAGTCAGCATATTGCTCCCAACAAATCGGGTCCTCATTTTACTAACCTGGGAAGGTTGAAAGGCTGAGTCAACCTTGAACTAGTCAGGATTGAACTTCTGACAATGGGCAGAGTTTGCCTGCAAAACTGCATTCTAACCACTAAGCCCCCATGGATCTCTAAACAAATGACTGTAAATCAAGGATTAACTGTAGTGATATTTGTGTTAGAATACAATTTTCTTTTCTTTTTCTTTTCTTTTTTATAAAAATGTCAAATCAATATGTGAACAGTGTGGCACCTGGGTGCCTGACATTTCCATACAAATTAAATTGATCAGATTAAACATAATTATTACATTCAATCAATTTATGTGTTTCTAATAGCAATACACATCTATGTTAGGTTGCAGTCTATCATTATTTGATTATTCCACATTTTCTCATTCTTACTTTTATTTTATAAAATAAAAATGTGTGTATTAATATTCCCCTTATTTCTATCACTTATTCTAGCTTTTAATTATGTCACCCTTTATTACAAAACTTTTTCTTCCTTTCCTGTCTAACTTCTAGTCATGTCACCTGCCTAAAGAAAAAAGAGAAAAAAAGAATAGAGAGAGGGAGGGGGGGGTAGAAGCAACTCAAAACAGCAACAACAACAAAAAAGAAAAAGAAAGAAGGAATCGTCCATCCATCATCTCTTGTCCACTTCATGCTTTAATTGCTATGCTTTAAAAGAAAGAGGGGAAGAAGGAAAGGCGAATCAGAACAACAATAAACCAAAAAAAAAAAAAAAATCATCTATCCATCATCTCTTACCCGCTCCAATACTTTAATTGCTATGCTTTTATTTTTTTTACTTGCCTCCCAAATTCCTCTCTTAAATCGCCATCTAAGAATACAACTTTATTTTCATCACTTCCGTCACTGTTGCTTCCAGGCATGGCATAGTCTATGCCATTAATTGTGGTCTCAGATGAGCAGGGCCAGAACGATTGTGAATGATGGAACTTGGAAAGAGATGGAGCTGGGATTGGATAGGATATGCAGAAAAATTGACTGGTGTTTTCTCTTCCATCTAGTCTTCCGGTGTGTCAGGCCTCTAGAATTTGAAAACGGTGCCTTTGAGACCTTCCAGCAATTTTACAACGTAAGCCAGAAGCTGAAGTTCAGTTGCTATGACGGACACAAGTTGCGAGGGTCCCAGATACGTACCTGTCTCCCCAACGGGAAATGGAGTGGAGAAACAGCCGTATGTGATGATGGAAGTGAGTCTGATTATCCTTTGTGATCAAAATCTACCGTTTCTTCTTCCCCCCTTGGGGAATGGTTTATGGAAATTCTCAACCATCCAGCTCATGGTTGTCCCAAAAGTGCTTCTGAACGGAACTAAAGACGCTTCTTGGATGAGAAGCAAAACATTTTCAAAGAAAAAAAAACCCAACAAAATCCAGTTGCCTTTTGGGGGAGTTTCCCTTTGCGGAATGTATTCATAATTTGAATGTGTAGTTTTCCTCTGATTGCTATATTTTTTTATGTTACTTTTTTTTAGTTTAGGAAATTTATATTGCTGCCTATTCACACATGGCGACTCAAGGTGGCTTACAAGAATATAAAAACCTCATATATAAAACAAGAAAACTAATAAAAGAGAGTATTGTATAAAAAAGAACACCGCTTAGTGGGGGCCAAAAGCCCTACTAAGCAGGTATATACAAAAGTATGAAGGCTATTGCTTAACGCATTGTAAGCCACCCTGAGTCTCTGTAGAAGGGCGGCATATAAATCGAACCAATAAATAAATAAATAAATAAATAAATAAAATAATATAATAAAATAACCCCCATCCCATGCCCCGAAGACAGCACCTCACATGAGCCATTTAATGGGCTCCATCCCGCTCTGGGTTCCCCAGGCCCGCTGGCAGAACCAGGTCTTCAGCACCTTCCGGAAGAGTGATAGAGTCGAGGCCATTTTAATCTCTGAGGGAATGATGTTCCAGAGAGAGGGAGCCACCACAGAGAAGGCCCTTCTGGTGGGCCCCACCAGGTGTCTCTCCCTCGGGGATGGGACTCTGCATTCCCTGCCTCCCCGCTTTGGTGGGTCGGGTAGATGTGACCAGCAAGAGATGGTCCCTCAGATAACCTGGTCCCAAGCCATGAAGGGCTATAAAGGTGACAACCAGCACCTTGAATTGCACCTGGAAGTAAATCGGCAACCAATGCAGCTCCTGCAGGAGAGGTGATACATGTGCATACCGAGGTCTGCCCAGAACCATGCAGGCCGCTGCATTTTTCACCAACTGGAACTTCCGGATGCTCTTCAAGGGCAGCCCCATGTAGTGTATGTTGCAATAGTCAAGACGGGAAGTGACTAGGGCATGAGTGACCATGAGTAGGGATTGTCGTTCCAGGAAAGGGCGTATCCTTCTTGGCAGGTTCTTATAAATTTTGCTACTGGTTAAGTCAGAAGGTCAGGGCTTGTAGCCCTGTCTGCCATCTTGCTGTTTTTGACCTTACCCTCAGAGCAGTGGTGGAATTCAATTTTTTTTAACTACCGGTTCTGTGGGCGTGGCTTGGTGGGCGTGGCAGGGGAAGAATATTGCAAAATCCCCATTCCCTCCTGACTCCTGGGGGAAGGATATTGCAAAATCTCCATTCCCACCCCACTCTGGGGCCAGCCAGAGGTGGTATTTGCCGGTTCTCCAGACTACTCAAAATCTCCGCTACCGGTTCTCCAGAACCTGTCAGAACCTGCTGGATTTCACCCCTGCCTCAGAGGGTAGTAAAATCCTCTTTGAAGTATGGAGATATCATAAAAACACTTCGATGCTTTAAAGCCTCCAAGGAACTTGTCTGCTAAGCAAGTCAGGTGGACTCAATATTTTAATTGATTTAATTTTAGTCTCCATTGCATAACAGGAGGGAAAACCGTTTTGACTTCTTATCTATGAAGATAAGCTTTCGTACCTCATTTCGTGCCCTTCAAATGGACATGCCAGCTCAGGAGGATGTGAGTTGTGGCCTCATGTAGGGATAGAGGAAGGTGAAGCTAAGAAGCAGCTCCCAACTATCTATTGAAGTCCAAAGACTTAAATTCACAAACCAACTGATTTTTCACACTACTTGTCCTGCTTCAGATGGAGCACACACTCTGAAATAAAATGGCAAGGATTTTATAGGTAGTCCTCGAGTTACGACTGCAATTGAGCCCTGAATGTGAAGTTGCAGTCGTAAATCGTGGCACCACATGAGCAGACCTGATTTTTTTTCCTACATTTTTGCCACTTTTGTTAAGTGAATGCGGTAGTCATTAAGCAAACACTTCGGTCCTTAAACCAATCAATTTTCCCCAGTGGGTGTTTTTTGCCAGAAATTGGAAGTAAATGTTGAAACCGGCAAAAAAAACGTTGCAGATTGTGGTTGTGCTTATACAACCAAGCACATCCAGCCAAGCCCACGAAATGTGACCATGTGGCAGAGAATCAATGGAGGCCATTGTAACTTTAAAAGCAGGTCTTAAGTAGCTTTTGGGATGCTACATCATAAGTTTGAATGCTCGTTAAGCAACCGCTTGTAAATCAAGGAATAGCTGGACTCACAAGTAGCAGACAGTTAGAGGAATGAGCTCATGTTTACGTAGCACAGATATTCAGGTAATATTTACAGGGGAATAAGGAGAAGCTGACAAGCATCAAGAACCCATGCTCCCCAACAATGCTCACACAGATATGGGAATTTGCTTGAGAAGGAGTCCAAAGTATAACAGCAAAGAAATAATATAATCGAATCATAGCTTAAATCTTTGTTTCTCAACCTTGGCAACTCTAAGATATGTGGTCTTGAACGCACTTTATCTAAGGAGCAGCCACAAAGAAGAGGGAGTCAGGCTATTCTCCAAAGCACCTGAAGGCAGGGCAAGAAGCAACGGATGGAAACTAATCAAGGAGAGAAGCAACCTAGAACTAAGGAGAAATTTCATGACAGCGAGAACAAATAATCGGTGGAATGACTTGACTCCTGAAGTTGTGGGAGCTCCATCACTGGAGTTTATGGATATTCACAGTCATCCAGGTCATGGTTGTCCCAAAGGTGCTTTTTCAAGAGGCAACTGGACTTTCTGGTTTTTTTTCTTTGAAGACCTTTTGCTTCTCATCCAAGAGGCTTCTTCAGCTCTCAATATTGCTGAACAGAGTGGAAAAAGCTTCTTGGATGAGAAGCGAAATGTCTTCAAAGAAAAAAATAAACAGAGAGTCCAGTTGCCTCTTGAAAAAGAACCTCCATCACTGGAGGTTTTGAAGAAGAGATTGGACAGCCATCTGTCTGGAATGGTATAGAGTCTCTTGCTTGAGCAGGGGGTTGGACTAGAAGACCTCCAAAGTCCCTTCCAACTCTGTTATCCCGTTAATTCTTAACATTCTTGAAGTCCACACACCAGTGATGAGTTGTCCCCGGTTCGCACTGGTTCTATAGAACTGGTAGTAAAACTGGTGGGAGGCTCCGCCCACCGACCCCGACGTCATCAAAATGCTTCTACGTGTGGCCCCATTGTGAACGAACCAGTAGTAAAGGTAAGTAGAACCCACCTCTGATCCACACATCTTCAAGTTGCCAAGGTTTGAGAAATGCTGGTCTAGAACGATAGAATTCAAAACCAATGATTTCTCAAGGAGTTTGTATCATACATTGACGATGCACTGTCTCGTTTGATGTTTGGTTTAACTGTTTACCACCGTGAGTCCTTGGGAACGGCGGTGATGCAAAAACTGTATTTGCAGATAAATAAATACATCGGTGTGTCATTCCCTCCCTCTCTTGTTTTCAGCTGGCCATTGTCCTGACCCAGGAATTCCCATTGGTGTTCGAAAATACGGCACGGAGTATCAAATAGATAGTATGGTTCGCTACCAGTGTTCTCGAGGGTTGTCTCTTATCGGATCTAGGGAAAGAGTTTGCCAAAAATCAGGAATCTGGAGCGGATCAGAACCAGAATGTCGAAGTGAGTAAATATGATAGGAAAAGACGGGCTTAGCATCCGAAAAGGTGAATCTGGAACTGTTATTGTTTTCTCTCTTTTTTTGCCATCATTTATGGAACTATTTTTTCCCCTACTCTTATATACACACACCAAGGGTGAAATGCTACCCGTTCGGACTGGTTCGCCCGAACCGGTAGTAAAAAATGCTACTGGTTCGGGCGAACCGGTATTTCCGACGATCAGCTGTGCGATGATCAGCTGTTTTCTAGCTAATCTAAATCGCACGACATAGCTGTTCCCCTCCCCCTTGCTGTTCTACTTACCTTTGCAGACTCAGAAAAGGCTTTTTAATCTTCCTTTTTCAGCGCTGCATGGCAACGTCTGTGGTGCGCATGCGCGCAAAGTGCATGTTTGGTGCGCATGCACGCGCGCAGCCAACCAGTAGCGAAACAAACTGATAGCAGACTTCAGAGCATTTCACCTCTGACACACACATAAAAACAACACTGGGAACCAAATTCACTGTCTCCTTCTTTTCTTTCCCAGGCTCATTCACTTTTGATTCTAAAGAAGAAATCGTCAGCAAGTTCCTTCCATCCCTCCTTGAAGTTGCTTTGTCTGCCAGCCAAGGTAAATTTTTGTAAGTGTGGTAGGATAGGAGATTGTAGCATCATTTAACCTGGTTTCGTCACTGGAATCGTGTTATATCATCCTTGGTAAAAGGGGAAAGATACTGTAAAATCTCCATTCCCACCCCACTCCAGGGGAAGGATACTTGTAAAATCTCCATTCCCACCCCACTCCAGGGGAAGGATACTGTAAAATCTCCATTCCCACCCCACTCTAGGGGAAGGATACTGTAAAATCTCCATTCCCACCCCACTCCAGGGGAAGGATACTGTAAAATCTCCATTCCCACCCACTCCAGGGGAAGGATACTGTAAAATCTCCATTCCCACCCCACTCAAGGGGAAGGTTACTGCAAAATCCCCACTTCCTCCCAATCAGCTGGGACTTGGGGGGCAGAGAATAGATGGGGGCGGGGCCAATCAGAATTTTTACTACCGGTTCTCCAAACTACTCTAAATTTCCACTACCAGTTCTCCAGAACTGGTCAGAAGCTGCTGAAACGCACCACTGCTGCAAACCCCATGCCTTATATTAGGGTTCTCCAAACTTGGCAACTGTAAGACTTGTGGACTTCAACTCCCAGAATTCCCCAGTGAGCATGAAATAGGAATAGCACTTAGACTTATGTACCGCTTCACAGTGCTTTAACAGCCCTCTCTACGCGGTTTACAGAGTCAGCCTCTTGCCCTCAACAATCTGGGTCCTCCTTTTGCTGACCTCGGAAGGATAGAAGGCTGAGTCAATCTTGAGCTAGTGAGAATCGAACTGCTGAACTACTGGCAGCTGGCAGTCAGCAGACATAGCCCGGAGCATTGCATTCTAAACACTGCACCACCATGGCTCTTCACAAGTCTTAATATTGCCAAGTTTGGAGGAATAGACAACAGTCCAGAAGCTAGGCTCAAGATCCAGATGGATCTCGAGAGGCTTGAACACTGGGCCCTATCTAACAAAATGAAATTCAATCTACATAAAAGTAAGATTTTACATTTAGGCAAGAAAAACCAACCATATAGGTCTAGGCTATGTGAAACCTGGCTCAACAGCAGTAATTGTGAAAAGGATCTTGGAGTCTTGCAGCCAAAAAAGCCAATGCAATCCTAGGCTCCATTAACAGAGGGATATAATCAAGATCATGTGACGGTCCAGTACTGTTTTACAAACTCTTAGTAAGACCACACTTGGAATTCTGCATCCAATTCTGGTCACCACCATGTAAAAAAAGCTGTTGAGATTCTGGAAAGAGTGCAGAGAAGAGCAACCAGGATAATTAAGGAATTAGAGGCTAAAACATATGAAGGATATTTGCTGGAATTGGGCATATCTAGTTTAATGAAAAGAAGGACCAGGAGTGATGTGATAGCAGTGTTCTGATATCTCAAGGGCTGCCACAAGGAAGAGCGGGGGTCAAGCTATTCTCCAAAGCAGCTGAAGGCAAGACAAGAAGCAATGGAGGGAAACTAATCAAGATGTGAAGCAACCTAGAAATGAGAGACTTCCTGACAGTAAGAACAATTACTGTATTTTTGGGAGTATAAGACACACTTTTCCCCCCTAAAAGAGGGTGAAAATTTGGGTGCATCTTATACACCGAATATAGCCCCACCCACCCACCGGCCCCCACCTTTTGGCCTCTGTCTCCCAGCAATTTGCCTCCTTGCAGCAAACAGCAAACACTTTCAGCTTCAGCTTCAGCACGGGCTGATTAGCACAAGCAGCTGATTGTCAATTGGGTCGGCCTCCTGAGGATCAGCTGTTTCAGGCGGCAGGGATTACTGAAAATGGGGTGCGGGGAAGCAACAATAGGCTATGGCAATCCCTGCAGCCCGAAACAGATGATCCTCAGGAGGCCGATCCAACCGTCAATCAGCTGCTTGTGCTAATCGGGCTGTGCTAAAGCTGAAGCTGAAACAGGCTGTTTGCTGTTTACTGCAAGGAGGCAAATTGCTGGGAGGCAGGGGCAGATTTCTTTTTTCTTGTTTTCCTCCCCCAAAAAGGTAGGTGCATTTTATAGTCCAGAGTATCTTATACTCCGAAAAATACGGCAATCAGTGGAACACCTTGACTCTGGAAGTTGTGGTACTTCAACACTGGAAGTTTTTAAGAAGAGATTGGACAGCCATTTGTCTGAAATGATATAGAGATTCCTGCCTGAGCTGGGGGTTGGACTAAAAGATCTCCAAGGTCCTTTCCAACTCTGTTATTCTGGGTTTTTTTTTTTCCTATCAGGAGCATCAGCTAACAACAAAAGTGACTCACTTAATATCTACTTTCTCATTGATGCCTCAGAAAGCTTTGGCCGAACAAGGGTCACAAAGGCTAAGGAAGCATTGCTGAAGTTAGTCGAGAAGGTAGGTTCCATTTTGAAAACGTCCTTCAACTAGGTTTGCTTCAACAAAACTGAAAGCAGCTTGAACTACAAGACCTATGTTCCAGGGTTGTCAATATTCCTAGAAAGCTCTAGTGTCACATGGAAGAAGGGCAGATAGCTTTTGGAAAGATGGTGACCCCCAGGGGGAGGGCCTTCTCTGTGGGGGCTCCCACCCTCTGGAATCAATTGCCTCCAGAGATAAGGAGAATCCAAGACCTCAGTGCCTTCCGCCGTGCCCTTAAAACCTTCCTTTTCCAGCAAGCCGGGCTGGCCTAATTTTTTAAGTGTTTTTAAGTGTTTTGTTTATCGTTTTTAACTAATGGGGCCAAATTTATATATACTTTTAATTGTATTTTAATATTTGTATTTGATGTTTTTACTTGGCTGTTCACCGCCCTGAGTCCTCAGGGAGAAGGGCGGTATACAAATTCAAAATAAAATAAAATAAAATAAATAAAAGATGGGGATAAGGTCATTTTTTTTGACAATGGCCAAGCTATAGAAATTGGCTTTGTTAAGTAGGCAACAAGCATATAGTATATACCATATTTTTCAGAGTATAAGATGCACCTTTTTCCCCCAAAAAAGGTGAAAATCTGGGTGCATCTTATACTCCAAATGTAGCCCCACCCAGCCTCTCAAACAGAGGTTTCAGAGGCTAAAAAAAGCAGAGCGTCAGGCTAAAAAAAACAGAGCTTCAGAAAAAAAGCTTCAGAAAGGAAGCATCAGAAAAAGCCTCCAAACAGAGCTTCAGAAAAAAAGCCTCTGAAAGAAGCTTAAGAAAAAAAGCCTCCTAAACAGAGTTTCAGAAAGCTCTAAAGCTCTGTTTCGGAGGCTTTCAGAAACAGAAAAAAAAGCAAGTTGCACAACCAACGAACCTGTTGCTAAAATTCACCTCTAGGAACAGCTGATTGGGGGTATTCCGGGAGGCTGATCCACCCGCCAATCAGTTTTTTTCTTATTTTCCTCCCCAAAGACTAAGGTGTGTTTTATGCTCCAAAAAATATGGTATATAATCCATCTATCCTGAAACGTGACATAGGTAATCCTCAATTTACAACCGTTGCTGTACCGACTGTTCAAAATTATGATTATCCTGAAAAATGTTACTGGCAACCAGTTCTCACACTTAACCACTGTCGCAGTGTCACCAATCCGAAATTCGGGCACTTGGCAACTGGCATGAATTTGTGACAGTTTCAGATTCAAGGGGGGGTCACATGATCACCATTTGTGACCTTCCTGGGAGGTTTCCAACAAGTCAAGTCAATGCGGGAAGCTGGATTTGCTTGATGACCAGCTGATTCGCTTAAGGACGCAGAAAGGTTGTACAAGTGGCACAACGACAGCATCTCTTAGCGATGAAAGTTCCAGTCTCCAAATGTGGCTGCAAGTTGAGGGCTACCCGCATGAATTATAAAAAGAAAGAAATAAAAGACCCATTTTTTGCTCCCAGGGAGGTGCAGGAGGTCGAGTGCTGCCTGTCACACACCCCTGGCCACGCCCACCATGGCCACGCCCACCCAGCCGGTTATTAGGGCAGAGAACCGATTGTTAAATTATTTGAATCCCACCACTGATCATAGATGTGTTAATATCTATGTGTCCACTGATGACTTAGATAGAGCTCTATGACCGTAAGACAGGGGTGAAATGCTCCCAGTTCGGTCCGGTTCACCTGAACCGGTAGTAAAAAAGGCTACTGGTTCGCCGAACCGGTAGTAAAAAATGTTTTTTAAAAAAGTTCCAATGATCAGGTGAGCGACGCGCGATCGTCGAAACTTTTTTTAAACTTTTTTAACACTTTTAAAAGTTTTAAAAAAAAAACAAGTTCCGAAGATCGCGCATCGCTCAGCTGATCGTCAGAACTTTTTTTTTTTTACTTTTTAGGCATTTTTTTACTACCGGTAGTAAAAATGCATTTAAAAAGTAAAAAAAAAGAGGCTCCGAAGATAACAGCTGTGGCGCGCGATTGCCAGAGCCTTTTTTTTTACTTTTAAAAGCATTTTTTTACAACCTATTTGAGGGAATAGGTTGTAAAAAAATGATTTTAAAAGGTTAAAAAAAAGGCTCCAATGATCACAGCTGTGGCGCGCGATCGTCAGAGCCTTTTTTAACTTTTAAAAGCATTTGGTGTGTGGCGCACAGTGTGTATGCACAGCTAGCAAACCAGTAGTAAACCGGTTCAGATTTCACCACTGCTGTAAGACCAGAGGTGGATTTCAGCAGGTTCTGACCAGTTCTGGAGAACCGGTAGTGGAAATTTTGAGTAGTTCGGAGAACCAGTAGTAAAAATTCTGACTGGCCCCGCCCCCATCTATTCTCTGCCTCCCAAGTGTCAGCTGATCGGGAGGAAATGGGGATTTTGCAGTAACCTTCCCCTGGAGTGGGGTGGGAATGGAGATTTTACAGTATCCTTCCCCTGCCACGCCCACTAAGCCACATCCACAGAACTGGTAGTAAAAAATGTTGAAACCCACCACTGCATAAGACCTTAAGTGGCTCAAGAGAAATTTAATTACAGGCAGTCCTGACTTACAAACAAAATGGAGCCCAAAATTTCTGTGGCTAAGCAAGACAGTTGGGTTGAGTTTTGCTCCAGTTTATGACCTTTCCTGCCACCATTGTTAAGCGACTCCCTGCCATTGTTAAGTTAGTCACACAGTTGTTAAGTGAATCTGGCTTCTCCATTGACTTCGTTTGTCAGACGGTCGCAAAAGGGGAATAACGTAATCCCCGGCTGGGACCCTGCAACTGTCATAAACACATGCCAGTTGCCAAGCCTGCCAATTTTTGATCAGGTGATTGTGGGGACACTGCGATGGTCGTAAGTGTGAAAAATGTCACATTTTTTCAGTGCCGTTGTAACTTTGAACTGTCATTGGACTTAGACTTAGAATAACTTTATTGTCACTTTAAATGTACACTAATTGGCATACATTAAAATGAAATTTCGTTGCATACAGCACTCAAAGGGTCTCCACATCGAATATACACTACATAAACATGACAAGAAAAATATGCATATACCCACATATATTATATGTCGCAGAAAAACAACACACTCTAGTTCAGATCGATAGATGTACATGGCGAGACCAATGAATCTTGCGAGTTTACGAGACTGATGGCATAGAGAACAAAGCTGTTACAGAATCTGGCAGTCCTGCTAGAAATATTTCGAAACCTCCTCCCAGAGGGGAGCAACAGAAACAGACCATCAAGTGAGTGTGTGGGGTCTAATTTGGGATAATTTGTCAGAGCCAGGTTGTTTCCAGAAATTCCCTGGCATTTTTGGACTCAGTTCGGTCTAGGATGGTCACATTTTCCCAATTGAAAGTATGTTTAAGCCTGTCTATGGTATACTTTGGGGCAACTTCAAGCAAAATTTATCAGAAGAGGTTTAACCCCTTGGCTTTTTTATTATTATATACTTTATTCATTAAACATGAAACTCAATCAACTGAACATTCAAAAATGCATCATAAACACCATTGACTGGTGCTAATGGTTGATACAGGTTGCTGCCAGCGTCCTAGGTATCAACCAAGTACCTTCTTAAGATGTATGATGTTCCAAGTAGCACAGTTTTTTGCAGGTGTTATTGCAGGAAGCTGCAATTTGTTGATGTATCTTATAAAATTCTTGGACATGGTACCAAGTACCATGACAAGGGGGTATTACTGTTACATGTTTCATCCATAGCCGTGTAGTTTCGATGGCCAGGTCGCAATATTTCATGATTTTTTCCAGTTCTTTTTCTTCGACTCTGGCGTCTCCTGGTACCACGATGTCAATAAATTATACGTTTTGGTTTTCGACAACTGTAATATCTGGCTTGTTGTGTTCCAAGTGACGATCTGTCTGTATTCGAAAGTCCCACAAGATCTTCACCTTCTCATTTTCTATAACTTTTTCCACTTTATGTTCCCATGACTTTTTGGATACAGGTAAATTGTATTTTTTACATAATGACCAGTGGATTAATTTAGCAACTCAGTCGTGTCTAGCTTTGTTATTTATTTTATTATTTATTTATTAAATTATTATTATTATTATTATTATTATTATTATTATTATTATTATTATTATTATCTCTTTTATTCATTAAACATGAAACTCAGTCAACTGGACATTTAAAAATGTGTCACAAATACCATTGACTGGTGCTAATTAATGGTTGATACGGGTTGCTGCCAGCGTCCTAGGTATCAACCAAGTACCTTCTTAAAATGTACGATGTTCTGAGTGGCACAGTTTTTTGCAGTTCCGCTGGTGTCATTGCAGGAAGCTACAATTTCTTGGGGTGTTTTGTAAAATTCTTGAACGTGGTACTAAGTGCCCCGATGACAATGGGTATCACGGTTACATGTTTCTTCCATATAGCCTTGTACTATTATTATTATTTAAACAGTATACACAGCAAACGAGATGACCATGCTGGATTTCGTATCACAAATCACTAGTCGAACACTTCCCAAGCGTTAGGACTGGGTGATGTATCAGCGGATTATGCAAGCAGATCCCAGTAAGGTGGCCTTCTGCAGCTGATCAATGGTGATCTTGTTAGCGCCAATTGTTTTTAAGTGTTTGCCTAGATCTTTAGGCACAGCCCCCAGTGTGCCGAGTACCCCTGGAACCACCTGCACTGGTTTATGCCAGAGTCTCTGCAGTTCGATTCTCAAGTCCTGATATCTGGTGACTTTTTCACGTTGTTTCTCATCGATTCTGCTGTCACCAGGTATGGCAATATCGACAATCCACACCTTTTTCTTCTCCACAATCGTGATCTCTGGAGTATTGTGTTCCAAAACTTTGTCTGTCTGTATTCGGAAGTCCCACAGTAATTTTGCATGCTCATTTTCGACCACTTTTTCAGGGTTATGATCCCACCAGTTCTTTGCTACAGGCATTTTTTGTTATTATTATTAATAATTATTATTATATATTATTAATATAACTTTGTTGTTGTTGTTGTTGTTGTTGTTGTTATAGATCTCCAGCTATGACCTCCTTCCCAAATATGGCATTGTGACTTTTGCCACCGAAAGCAGAATGGTTCTGAGTACAACTTCTCCACAGAGTAGTGATGCTCGCTGGGTGTCCGAACTGCTGGACACCGTTAGCATCGATGGTGAGCATGCTGGTTAGAAAAAAGAAACGTCAATACATTTCATCCTCAACTTACAACCACAATGGAGCCCAAAATTTCTGTTGCTAAACAAGACATTTGTTAACGGTTAATGAGTTTTGCCCCAGTTTGCAACCTTGCTTGCCGCAGTTGTTAAGTGAATCACGGAAGTTCTTAAGTTAGTTATCCCGTCGTTAAGTGAATCATGCTTCCCCGTTGACTTTGCTTGTCAGAAGGTCGCAAAAGGGGATTTACATGACCCCAGGACATTGCAACCGTCATAAATATGAGTCAGTTGCCAAGCTTTTCCTTCCTCACATGACCATGGGGATGCTGGGACAGTCGTTAAGTGTGAAAAGTGGTCCAAAGTCACATTCTTCAGTGCCATTGTAACATTGTAATGGTCACTAAGTGAACTCCTGTAAGTCGAGGACTACCTGTGCAGTGGTAGGCAAGCTTTGGAGCTTCTGCCTTGTGGCTGCCAAGGGCTTTTCTTTCATGTATGAGGGCAACCAAGAAAATTATTTTTTTAATTTATTTTAATCAGTTTCACACTGAAGGCCTTTGTGGTCATATACACGAAATTTGGATGTAAATGCCTGTTAGAAAATGTCATTTATTGTCATTTATTACCATTGTATTTGGCAATGGTCATTTATTACCATTGTATTTGTAATTTATTACCATTGACATTTATTACCATTGTATTTGTGAATGGTCGCTAACCAAGATAGTCCCAGAGATGCTTTTTTTTCAAAAGACAACTGGGCTTTGAAAAACTTTCTGGTTTTTCTTCGAAGACATTTCGCTTCTCATCCAAGAAGCTTCTTCAGCTCTAACTGAACGGTGGAGGATGGAAAAATGTATATTTCTTGCAGTCATCTGGTCATTAGCGCTCTCTCTGAGAGTCGTTGAAGCCGCTTGGAGGTTTATCTGTGTCCTCAGGGTCACCTGAATAGTGTAAATGGGTGTGGAGTCTTCTTGAAAATGCTAAAAGGACTTTATTGTAAACAAGAGATTTCAGCAGTTCTCAGAAGTTTCCACACCTATTTGCACCCATCAGGTGACCCTGAGGGCACAATTAAACCTCCAAGTGGCCTCAATGACTCTCAGAAAGGGTGTAAGGAATATAAATATAAATCCTTCCATTCTCCACTATTCAGTCAGAACTGAAGAAGCTTCTTGGATGAGAAGCGAAATGTCTTCAAGGAAAAACAAAGTCCAGTTGCCTTTTGGGGGGGGAAAAAGCACCTTTGGGACAACCATGATTGGATGACTGAGAATCTCCATAGACAACTAATCAAGATAATTGCTAAATGAGGAGCAGCTATATATCTCAGGACACTCTGTAATGTACTCATCAGAACTGAATTCCTGTTAGCTGTAGAGATGCATTTTTTTTTTCATCTCATGTTCCAATACAGGGAAATATTTGCAGCTCAGGGTTGAAAGGAAGGGTCTTTGGTGCTCTCTGAGGAATGTAGATTAACATCAGACCAACAATCAAGAAGTAAACAATAACCCAATCAAGAAACCGGTAAAGAAGCCCAGCCAAAGAACCTCTAAAACAGGGGTGAAATGCTCCCGGTTCGGACCGGATCGCCTGATCCGGTAGCGATGGAGGTGGATGGTTCGGAGAACCGGTAGCAAAAATCCCTGCCCGCCCCCCCCATGCCCAGCTGAGCCACACAATCATCATAGCTTTTTTTTTTTACTTTTAAAAGCATTTTTTCTACAACCTCTTCGGCCGAAAAAATGCTTTTAAAAGTTAAAAAAAAAAAAGCCTATGATGATCGCTCAGCTCAGCTGGGATCGTCAAAAGCTTTTAAAAGCATTTTTTCTACAACCTCTTCAGAGGTTGTAGAAAAAATGCTTTTAAAAGCCTCTGGCGATCCCAGCTGAGTTGCCTGATCGTCAGAGGCATTTAAAAGGAAAAAAAGCTTCTGCCGATCAGGCAACTCAGCTGGGATCGTCAGAGCCTTTTGAAAGCATTTTTTCTACAACCTCTTCGCCGAAGAGATTGTAGAAAAAAATGCTTTTAAAAGTATTTTTTAAAAAAATTGGCCACGCCCACCCAGTCATATTACCCCGCCCACCAAGCCACGCCCACAGAACCAGTAGTAACAAATTTTAGATTTCACCACTGCTCTAAAACCAACCCCACCAACACTGACAGAGCAAGGCCCTAGAACAGTGTTGGCTAACCTTTTCCGTACCAAGTGCCCAAAGTGCGCATACCCCTGCATGCGCCCTGCCTCCTGCGCACGTGCCCCCATACACCCTCCCAGTGCATGAATGCATGGCCCCCTGCAAGCTCCCTTCCCCCCGGGCATGCAACCCCCCCGGCACGCTCCCTTCCCCGCATGCACGCAACCCCCGCGCATGCCGTGCCCCCCGTGCATACGCGCACAGCTCCCGCACACACTCTCCCCCTGCGCATGTACACACGCCCCCCCGCATGCACCTTGTGCCCACATATGCACGCACAGCCCGCCCCCCCACGCATGCGCAGCAGAGACCCAACGACCAGCTGGCCGGCGGGAGGCACGCACGCACACACGCGCAGCAGAGCTGAACTGGGACAACAGCTCGCGTGCCATCAAAGAGGACGCTGCGTTCCATAGGTTCGCCATCACGGCACTAGAATATAAACTGAGAGCAAATCCCAGTCCTTACCAGCACTGATGGTGTTATCGGGTGTGGTAATTAAACGTCTGCAAGAAAACAATCAAGTTCAGACAGCACCAATTTATTTATTTATTTATTTTATTGAATTTCTATACCACCCTACTCCCGAAGGACTCAGGGCGGTGAACAGCCATAAAATAAAACACATACATATACAAAATTTAAAATCGAATTAAATGAATTAAATAAATTTGGCTGAATTAATACCCATAATTTAAAATACCCATATTTTAAAATACATTAAAATTTAAAATTTGCACTTAAAAGGGAGAAGATTTAGGCGAGGCCAAGGACCTTTCGTTTCATGTATTCCTCTGTTAGGCTTATTGGGACTTATTAAGGCTCACCAACTAATGCACTGTTCAACTTTGCATTTTGATTATTCCAGTGCATGAGCTGAAGCCTGGAACCAACATCGCGAATGGCGTTCAATTTGTCTACGAGATGATGATCATGCAGGACTTGGAAGAGAAGCGACGGGGGCTGAACCCCACTCCTGTGTCCACCACAGCCCATCATATCATTATCCTCCTAACGGATGGTGAGCAGATCCAGAGGACGATGCAAACTCTTGAGCTCTTTCGGTTGCTCTCGTTCTGTTGTTTGAGGAAGAATTTTTAGAGGACCTTAAAAAAGATTATAAGACCAGTCATTTCAAATATTAAGCACCATTTTATACAAGGGCTTCAACTTGTCTGGGAAGGGAGGGAGGGAAAGGGAAAGGAGGAAAGGAGGGAGGGAGGAAACAAGGAAGGGAGGAAAGGAGGCAGGAAGGGAAGGAGGGAAAGAGAGGGAGGGAGGGAGCAAAAGGGAAAGGGAGGAAAGGAGGGAGGAAGAAAGGAAAGAAAGAAAAGGGAGGGAGGAAGGGAGGAAGGGAGAGAGGGAGAGAGGAAAGGAGGAAGGGAGGAAAGGAGGCAGGAAGGAAGGGAAGGGAAGGAGGGAAAGAGAGAGAGAGGGAGAAAGGAAATGAGGAAGGGAGAAAGGGAGGAAAGGAGGCAGGAATAAAGGGAGGAAGGAAAGGGAGGGAGGGAAAGGGAAGGAGAAAGAGGGAGGGAGCAAAAGGGAAAGGGAGAAAAGGAGGGAGGAAGAAAGCAAAGAAGGGAAGAAGGGAAAGGGAGGAAGGGAGAGAGGAAAGGAGGAAGGGAGGAATGAAGGAAAGGAGGCAGGAAGAAAGGGAGGAAGTGAAGGAAGGAAGGAAGGAAGGAAGGAAGGAAGGAAGGAAGGAAGGAAGGAAGGGGTAGACAAAGTACTGAAGGGCAATGAAAGCTGTTAGTGTGTCAAAGTGCTTTTGGAAAAGTAGAATCCAGGACCGAGTAATTCTTTTTAAAAAAAAAATCCATAATATTCCATTCCTTTCCTCTCCTTACTCCCAAATGACATCATGACAGGTGAGAATGACTCTTCGCAATAATCTTTCTTTTTCTAGGAAACTACAACTTGGGGGGGCCCCCGTTTATTGTCATCCAACAAATAAAGGAGTTTCTTAACATTGAGGGATCTTCCCAAAACTCTCGTGATGATCATTTGGGTAAGATGACGATGAATGGGCTGGACAGCTTCATTTTACCTTCTTTGCATTTCACCGTCCCAGCCAGATGGGAAAAAGATTGTTTTATTTCATTTCCACGAATTGCTTTGCTTATTGATCAATATACTACAAAAACTCTTGTGTGTCTTTTGTCTGTGACCTTTAATTGGGCAAAGGGAAAGGGAAAGAGGAAGAGAGGGAGAGTGACAGTGAGGAAGGAAGTGTGCTGGTTAGAGTAAGTAGTTTAGGAATTAAGAATCACCCCTTTAAGGGATTGCTTTTAAGAAATGTAGTTTATTTCACGTGGTCACATCTGTGTTTCTGATTGGCCACTGGGTTAGACTTCTGATTGGCTGCGGGTCTAACCTGCTATGTGTAGATTAGCGGGGTTTTTAAATTTCAGCCCAACTGGGAGTTGTTTGCTCCCTCAACACGGGGACAAACTAACTTGTTTCATCTACATGAATTGGGAACAGATTATATGCACCTCAGAAGAATCTCTTCAGTGACTGTGAGTTATTGTTTAGAGAATGCCTGATGAATAAAAGTAATCTGCATCGGGGTGGATTCTACTTACCTTTACTACCGGTTCGCAACGGGACCGCCCGCGCTTGCTTTGTGCCTGCGTATGCGCAGAAGCTTCCTGATGACGTCCAGGTCGGTGGGTGGAGCCTCCCGCCGTTTTTACTACCGGTTCTTGCGAACCGGTATGAACCGGGGGCAACCCACCACTGATCTGCATTTAGTAATCTCCCTTTCCGTGGAGTTTATCTGTCTGTGATAAGCCATCTGCCGTTTGAAACAGAACAGAAAGGAAGGGGAAGGGAAAGGAGAGAGGGAGGGAGAGAGAAGGGGAAAGGGAAAAAGAGGGAGAGGGGCAGGGAGGGAGAGAGCGAAAACAAAAGGGAGGGAGGGAGAGAGAGAGAGCAAAAGGGGAAAGGGAAAGGGAGAAAAGGAGGAAGGAGGGAGGGAGGGAGGGAAGGAAGGAAGGAAAGAAGGAAAGAAGGAAGGAAGGGGTAGACAAAGGTCTGAAGGGCAATGAAAGATGTTAGTGTGTCAAAGTGCTTTTGGAAAATGTTGGAAGAAGAATCCAGTACTGATTAATATTTTTTTTAAATTTTCCATAATCTATTTATTCTATTCCTTCCCTCCCCTTACCCGCAAATGACAGCAAGCCATAATAAATGCAATAACCATTTCTTTTTCCACATAACTACAACGTGGGGATCTCCTCATCTACTGACCTACAAATAGACATTGGCGAATCTTCCCCAAACCCTCGTGATGATCATTTGGGTAAGACGACGATCCATGTGCCGTATGGGCTTTCTTTTACCTTCATTGCATTTCACTGTCCCAGCCAGTTGGGATTGGTTTTTTTTATTTCATTTCCCTGAATGTCTTGGCTTATTTATCAACCTACCGCTAAATCTCTTGTGTCTCTTTTGTCGGTGACCTTTAACTGGGCAAAACGCTGCGTCGCTCAGCCAAGTTTTTCCATGCGTTGCTTGAAAGGATTTTTTCCGTAGTGCAATTTTAACAGGGAGAAATCCATTGCTGGTTTCACTGCGCTGTTCCTCTCCTTAACGTATACTTCTCTCCACATTTACGCCTAGATATTTATGTCTTTGGTAATGGCCATGAACTCAACATAGAATCTATTAATGAGATGGCTTCTCACAAACCCAACGAGAGACACAGCTTCATTTTGAAGGACTTGAGTGAACTGCAAGAGGTCTTCGAGAAGAGTCTGGGTAATCTGAATTTTCATTTCTCTGATTTCATGACTCGTTGACCCAGTGGTGGGTTCCATTTACCTTCGCTACTGGTTCGCAAATGTGACCACACGTGCACAGCGCTTCTGTGCATGTGCAGACCATCCGTGATGATGTCCGGATGGGTGGGCGGAGTCTCCCGCCACCGCCGCTACCGGTTTGCACGAACTGGGGTGAACCTGTAGGAACCCACCACTGCATTGACTTGACCCTGACATTTTGTTTCCCTTGCAAAGAAAGGAAGTTGGAAGTTTCTATCTTTCGTACCCACACAGCTCTTAATACAATAGCAATAGCACTTAGATTTATATACCGCTTCACAGTGCTTTACAGCCCCCTCTAAGCAATTTAGAGTCAGCATATTGCCCCCAACAATCTGGATCCTTGTTTTACCCACCTCGGAAGAATGGAAGGTTGAGTCAACCTTGAGCCGGTCAGGATCGAACTGCTGGCAGTCGGCAGAATTAGCCTGCAATACTGCATTCTAACTACCATGGTACCACAACCCTTAATAGTAATAGCAATGGCAGTTAGATTTATATACTGTTTCACAGTTGCGTTATAGCCCTCTCTAAGGGGTTTACAGAGTCAGCATATTGCTTCCGACAATCTGGGTCCTCATTTTACCGGCCTCGGAAGAATGAAATGTCTTTGAAATGTCTTCAAAGAAAAACAAGAAAGTCCAGTTGCCTCTGGAAAAAGCACCTTTGGGTAACTCCAGGGGTGAAATGCTCCTGGTTCAGACCGGATCGCCCGATCCGGTAGTGATGGCGGTGGGTGGTTCGGAGAACCGGTAGCAAAAAGTAAAAATGCTTTTAAAAGTAAAAAAAAAAAGCCTCGCGCGGCTCAGCTGGGATCATCAGAGGCTTTTCAAAGCATTTTATTTGCAACCTCTTGGCCAAAGAGTTGGTAAAAAAAAATGCTTTGAAAAGTCTCTGACGATCCCAGCTGAGTTGCCTGATCAGGGAGGCTTTTCAAAGCATTAGAAAAAATGCTTTGAAAAGTTTTTTTTAAAAAAGTTGGACACGCCCACCCAGTCACATTAATCCCCCCCACACCAAGCCACGCCCACAGAACCGGTAGTAACAAATTTTACATTTCACCCCTGGATAACTGATACTTTTTCATTGTAAATGTTTAATTGGTGGGCTCGGTAGGCACGCTCTTGAAGTTTGTTGAATCTGTGGGCATCCATCCATGAGCACCAAGTTTCCAAACCCACTTAAAAAATTTTCTCTGGTAGTGGTTGAGGAATGAAGTTTGAGGAACTCAGTATAGGAACTGTCAATTCACTTTAGTCCATTTCCATCTTTTTTTTCTCCCAGTCTAAGGATGTCACTTGTTTCCAAACTTGGTCTACTGTCCTTCCTCGGAATCCAGAAGTCCCACCGATCTGTCTCCCTTCCAATCTGCTCATTTTTTTTCTAGGAAGTTCTACCTTCCAAAAACATGTCTTTCTATTCCCAGATGATGGTGAATCTTTGCCCATGTGTGGTTTCTCACCGGGAGAAGAAGCAGTAGATGACTATGAAAAGTATCCCTGGTTTGCAAGGATCGTCATTAATGTAAGACTGACTAGCACCGGGATCGATAGATACTTTTATTATGGGCATACGACCAGCACAAAAAGCATTTTTAACCAAAATCCAGCCAATCCAGTAAAGATAACCAGAAAACGTGACCAGAGAAAACATCAAAAGAGAAATCTGTATTCTTTTTTTTTTTTTAAGATTTAGTCAATTTTATTTACATTTTTGTACATTTCAGAGCATTACACAATTACATTTTCCATATTTTCTGACCTGCAAACAAATACCTTAAATGGAAATACTTAAAAAAAATATGCAGTTTGATACATCCAAATGCAACAATTACACATCTGACAATTCACAAAGTGTAATTTACTAGGACGCATCCTAAGGATTTAAGAACAAGTAGTCAGGGAAAAAAATCTGACTAATTATTTACACAACACAAAATTCTCAAGCTAACCCTTAGAACAAATGTCCTAGGAGCACCCCCCCCCTTCCCCAACAGGATATTATGTAATTCACACTTAATGCAGCATTAACAGTCCTTGATCTCATACATGGAAGGACTGTTCAGTCTAATGTGAGCAACCAGCTTTCTCTTAAACTTGCCAAGACCTGAAGAGTGTATGTTTATCCATGGGTACATAGCATAATTTTGAGCATTTGAAAAAAAGTGACCACAAACTTATTTATTAATGATCAAGTCTACAGAGAAATCTGTATTCCAACCTCAGAATGTGACAAGTTTTCAAAGACAATTTCATTTTTGGGTGGACACCGAAAATGAAATATTCCATACTTCCAATAAAGGAGAATATTTATGGCTCAGGGTTGAAATGAGGGGTCCTTGATGCTCTCTGAGCTTGCTAGTTTTTCTTGCAGACATCTCATTACCTTAACCAGGTAGCATTGATGATATTACCTAGTTAGGATAATTAAACACCTGCAAGGAAACAACCAAGCTCAGAGAGCACCAAGGACCCCTTATTCCATATTCCAAATGCAGAATTTTGCACAAGACCTCATAGCAACGAAATGTCTGGCAGAATGCACTTTGTTCATGCTTCCCCAGTGCAAGATAATATTGTGGCATGCCTAAGGAGGAGCCCTTTCATAAAAATGCCATCAAAATAGCAACGTTTTCCCGGATCTGGTTTGCTTTCCTTAACTGTCTTGTTGCTTTCTGTGATCGTTGGGTTGGTTCTAAGGTCCAGTTCTGTGTTTCTCAAATTTGGCAACTTGAAGACGAGTGGACTTCAACTCCCAGAATTCTCCATCCAGCCATGCTGGCTGGGGAATTCTGGGAGTTGAAGTCCACACATCTTCAAATTGCTGAAGTTGAGAAGCACTGGTTTGAGGTAAAATTGTTGCTGCTCTCCATGATCCAGGAGTGATATTCACTTACCTTCGCTACTGGTTCGCAAATGTGAGCACACAGGTCCGCAGGGCCCACCTCCGCGCATGGGCAGGGCCTTTGACGCAGAGCATCAAAAACGTGGATAAATGGGATGTGATTACATCCGGGCGACTGGGCGGAGCCTCCCCAGCCACCGCTACTGATTCACCCGAACCGGATAGAACTGAATTGAATATCACCACTGCCATGATCCCAGGATGATTTCCATGTCTAACTTTTAGGAACCGCGGCAAGAAATCTGCAAGGGAGTCGTTGTCTCTGACCGGGACATCTTGACAGCAGCGCACTGCTTGGCTGGAATTAATGGGATCGAAGATATCAGCGTCGTCCTTGGTAAGCCAAATTCTCGCGAGGGCATGGAGAGAGAAAGAAGAAGAGGTGGATTTCTAACTGGTGAAAGAAGACTCGACTGCTTTATTCTTGTGCCATTAACAGTAGGTCATGAATGATGGTTTAACACAGGGGTCCACAACCCTCAGTCTGTGGCCCTGTACCGGGCTGTGGCCCGTTGGGAACTGGGCCACACAAGCTGCAGGCAAGCACATAAGCGTGCAAGTCTGCATTTGTGCAAGCAGCGTTCATGCATGCTAAACCATCCCGTCCACCGTCAATACTCTTTCTGGTCCCCAGAGCCAGAAAGTTTGGGGACCACTAGTTTAACATTTCTGTGGTTCCATTATTATAATAGTGTTGGAAGAAATGTCCATCTGGGTTCAGTTCCAAGTGGGGAAGAAACACACTGGAAACATGGAGGCTGTTTGGAAAGATGGTTTTTAATGGTGGATAGGATCACGTGGTTTTGAGGTCCCGGGGGAGAAAAGGGAAGAGATGCTGAGAGTGCCCCCGTTTTATGCCCTCTCTGGGCTTTTGAATTTGAGCTTGTATTCTGATTGGTTGTCAGACTCCCATGGGGCCATGCAGAGGTGACTTTTTAGATTGTCTGTGTTCCAGGCTTGGCTGAGCCTTGCTGGGTGATGATGTAATGAAGGGGATTTGGGCAATTCCTATTATGGCTCTGCCTGAAGGTGGTAAATCTTTGTTATGTAGAGTAGACTGGCCCAGACCTTAATGGCCCATTGACAAAGGTGTGGGGGGCTGAGTTTCTGCCTCCCTTTTAGGGGAAATATTCTGCCCTTTTAATATTTCCAAAAAATCTCATTTTCCTAGGAGAGGGGTAGGTGCTAACTTCCTACAATATTTATTTATTTACAAATATTTATATGCCACTCTTCTCCCAAAGGACTCAGGGCGGCAAACACAAGTTAAAAAACATACAATAATAAAGGAAAATCCGAATTAAAAACCAATTAAAACAGGGACAAATAAATAATAAAACCCAAGAATCAGAATCAGCCCATTTGTTGAAACAGCCAAGTCTTTAGGCCGCGATGGAAGGAGCGGAGATCAGGGGCTGTCCGGAGCTCGGTGGGTAACTCATTCCAGAGGGCAGGAGCGCCCACAGAGAATGCTCTACCCCTGGACGTTGCCAGCCGACATTGTCTGGTTGACGGTACCCTGAGGAGGGCAGCCCTGTGTGAGCGGACAGGATGGTGGGAGGTGGGCAGGAGATGGTCCTGCAAATACCCCGGACCTAAACCATGTAGGGCTTTATAGATAAGTACCAGCACCTTGAAGCGGATCTGGAGGACCACTGATAACCAGTGCAGCTCGCGTAGGAGACGTGTTACGCGGAAGTAATGGGGAGCTCCCGTAACAACCCGCACGGTTGGTCTCCATCATCTGCGAAGGTTTCCAGGAAGTTCGCATTGTCTCTCTCCAGCGGTGGGTTTTTATCGGTTCGCCCCAGTTCGGGCCAACCGGTAGTGGTGGCGGTGGGAGGCTCCGCCTATCCACCGAGATGTCATCATGGACGCTCTGTGCATGCGCAGAAACACAGCGTGCGAGCAAAGCGAGCACACACACCACTTGCTTCCAGTTCCGAACCTATAGCGAAGGTAAGTGGAACCCATTACTGTCTCTCCCTCTTCTCTAGGAACCACCGACTTTGCAGTAGCTGAAATCCGACGCCACCCAGAATACAATAGTCAGAAAGTGAAAAATAAGGGCACTCCAGAGTTCTACGATTATGACGTTGCTCTGGTCAAACTCAAAGAAAAGCACCTTCCATCTTTTGCAAGGTGAGCTGAAAGAAGAATGAGGGTCGAAGGATACTGTAAAAATTATTTTTTATCATTATCCGATGATGTCTCTTTGATTCGGGAATTAAAAAACTGTTCAGGTGGGAGGGCTGACAAACAGCGCATCTGTGTTCCGTCAGGCATGAGGTAGGGAGTAAAAAGGGTGAGAATATGGTTAATAGTCTAGAACAGTGATAGCTAACCTTTTTCTTGTTGTGTGCTGAAAGCAGGGGGGCGGGGGGGCAGAACTGGTTCGGTGACGTCATATCGTCACTGCTACCGGTTCGGCAGAACCGGGCAGAACCGGGCGGAACCCACCACTGAAACACACATCCTTTTTTACTGTATATGTTGCCAATTTGTTATGAAAAAATAATGGTTTTAATTAAAACTAATACACTTGCAGGTAGTTCTCAACTTATGACCGCAACTGAGCTCAAAAGTTCTGTTGCTAAGTGAGACAACTGTTAAGTGGGGTTTTGTCCCATTTTACGACTTTTCTGGCTAGAGTTGTTAAATGAATCACTGCAGCTGTGAGTCACGTGGTTGTTAAGTGAATCAGGCTTCCCCATTGACCTTGCTCATCAGAAGGTCGCAAAAAGGGGATCACGTGACATCCCCACCCCACCCCGGGACATAGCAACCGTCGTAACTATGAGTCAGTTGCCGAGCATCTGAATTTTGATCACATGGCCATGGGGAAGCTGCGAAGGCCATCACTGCAAAAAAAACAGTCATAAGTCACATTTTTCAGTGCCATTGTACCTCTGAATAGTCACTAAATGAACTGTTGTAAGTCGAGGACTACCTATATTTCTGTCGGTAAGGTGGTACACAGCAGTTAAAATGGTCTAAGATAAGATTAACACATCTGTCCTCTCTCTCTTTAACTTCTTGGCAGTCTTCAGTATAGGTAGTCCTCAACATACAACCTTTCGTTTAGTGACTGCTCAAAGTTAACAACGGCACTGGAAAAAAAGTGACTTGAAGTGAAAGATTTTTTTTTTATTGTTTTGTGCGTATCCCTAATTATATGATGTGGATGAGAGATATTGCAATGATCCCTGTCCTTTCTCATAACCCCCTTCCAACAGGCCAGTCTGCCTACCATGCACATTAGAAACCACTCGGATTCTGAGAAAGCCACATCCACAGACCACATGCAAGGATCACGGTAAGAGAAACCTAAGTAGTCTCAGTAGTCACAACAAACATTTTTAGCATCCCTGCCTTTCCCTCCCTACCTTCCTTGTGTTTTTCCCATGAGGCTCTGCCTTTTTGTTGGGGGAAGGATCAACATTTAGTTGCAACGTTGGCTGTGACAGGAATTGATCAATCAGGTTTTTTGCTTGAACCTAAAAATCATGGACTGAGAGAGTGGGTCTGGCCCAAAATCTTTCATGCCTAAAGCGGAACTAGAACTCACAATCTCCTGGCAATTGGCCCAAAGTCACCCAGATGTCTTTCATGCCAGAGGCAGAACTAGAACTCACAATCTCCTGGCGATTGTCCCAAAGTCACCCAGATGTCTTTCATACTTAAGATGGAACTAGAATTCATAATCTCCTGGTGATTGGCCCACCCAGATGTCTTTCATGCCTAAGGTGGAACTAGAACTCACAATCTCCTGCCGATTGGCCCAAAGTCATCCAGCCAAATTTCATGCCTGTTGCCTGAAGTGGGACTACAATTCACGGTCTCCTGGTTTCTAGCCTGGTGTTAAACCAAACTGGCTCTCCATTAGCATCCCTAATTATTAATTCAATGCACTCCTGATTTAATGGACCAGTAGAAAAAAAACATGTCCATTTAAATTGAGTTGAAGTCCACACATCTGAAAGTTGCCAAGGTTGAGAAACGTTTGAATGCCAACTCAAATCCATCTACGTTGGACTTGTACCATATTTAACAGAATTACAGACTTGGAAGGGTGCGTGCCAAAAGTGGGGGTCGCATGGGGGGGGGAGGTCGCGCATATGTGTGCCCACACCCCTGCGGTCCCCCCACTTTTGGCACACAAAGGCCTGGTAGGCCAGTAGGCCTGTTTTTTGTCCTCCCCAGGCTTCAGAAGCTTTCTTGGAGCCTGGGGAGGGCGAAAACAGCCTTCCCCATCCCCCTGGAGACTGGAAACAGCCCATTTCCCGACTTCCAGTGGGCCCAGAAGGCTGAAAATCAGCTGGCCAGCACGCGCATGCATGCTGGAGCTGAGCTAGGGCAATGCTCGTGTGCCCACATAAATGTCTCCGCGTGCCATAGGTTCGCCATCATGGCCCTATTCTATTTCAGACAAGTGACTGTCCAGATTCTTCTTAAAAAACCTCCAGTGATGAAGCACCCACAACTTCTGAAGGCAAAGCTGTTCCACTGGTTAATTGTCCTCACGGTTAGGAAGTTTCTCCTCAATTCCAGGTTGCTGGCATTCCATATTTGTCCATTGAATTCCACATTGGTCTATTTATTTATTTTTTATTTATTTATTTATTATCAAATTTATAGACCGCCCTTCTCCTGAAGGACTCAGGGCAATGTACAGCCAAAGTAAAAAACATAGATACAAACATTAAAAGCAATTTAAAAAGATAAATGTAAATTTGGCCCCAAAGTTAAAAAAACAATAACAAAACATATTAAAAACATTTAAAAAGCATTAAGCCATTAAGCTATTGAAAACCTAGTTCTCCTCCTCCATCCCTTCCTTATAGATTAACATTTCACTAATACTCACCATCCTACTTTACGTTTTTGGGTTTTTTTTTTTTGTTTCTTCTTATTTATTTATTTTCCTAGAGGAAGAACTCCTGTATGATGGAAATATTCCTTCTCTTTTCATCACCCCCTGTGAAAACAGCAGTGGCCAGAAATCTGGATTGCTCCAGAGAAATGTGTGGATCAAGAATGGAGAAAAGGTGTGTTAGGAATAAGACTTTTACCCAATTTGTTGGGTTGGCAATATATAAACCATCAATGTATGTTTGCAGTGTATTGCAATTGTATTGTATAGCTTTAAGACTGCTGTATTGCATCATACTGTGTCCTGATTGGTTAGCTTTGTTGCCAATGTCCTTAAGAGGGAGCTAGAAAATGGCTTGCTCTCTTTGTTGCTCTCTGATAACTCTTATCTGACTTACTGTATTACTGTTTGCAACTCCAGAAGAACTGTTTACTGTGTATGATTACTACGACTGGTATGAAGACTTTGTTTATTGGACTGTGCTTTATTTTTCCTGAATGTAAACTGTAACACAACTCAGTGTATCTGTGTGGTGAGTGTGCTTATTCATAACTACTCTCTTTTTTTTTTTCAATTTTAAAAACAAACTTTATTGAGTTTAAAAATTTTAAAAGACAAAAATATACAAATTTTTCTCAGTCATACAATTACATATACAATACACAACCCCACAAACTAAACATATGTAATTGTATGTACATAGGTATATAAACAGTGATTTATTTCTTATTCTATCTACCTGACGGTGCTTATTTGTTACATTTGATTTTTTTCCTAAATTTACTCTTTACCCTTTTTTCTTTTGATTTATCCACTTATACCATCTATTCCATACTTCAAAATATTTTGAGTCGTCCTTATCTTTTAATTTTAAAGTTAATTTATCCATTTCTGCACATGCGTAAATTTTTTGAATTGTCTCCTGGTCTGTTGGCAAGCGATCTGTTTTCCACAATTGTGCTAGTGCCAGTCTTGCTGCCGTAATTATGTGTAATGTTAAGTATTTTATGTGCTGTCTAATGTTCCTTTTAATCATGCCTAATAAGAAGATTTCTGGCTCTAATTCAATTTCTTGGTCTGTTGTTTCTTATTCATAACTACTCTCAACCGCTTTCATGTGCACACCCTTGCTACTCAAGGGTTATTCCTTAGCAAGGTGCTAACAGGGGACTAACTTTGAGTAAAGGCAACTTACATCATTAGCAGTTCAGCAACAGTAATGGGTTTGCTATCATATATAGGTAGTCCTCCACTTACGAACATTTGTTTAACCACCATTCAAAGTTACGACAGCACTGTGAAAAAAGTGACTTAAGACCAATCCTCGCACTTAAAACCACCACAGAGTCCCTTGATCATGTGATCAAAATTTGAGCCCTTGGTAGCTGACATGTATTTATGATGGTTGCAGCACGCCAGGACCGCAGGATCACCATTTCTGTCACCTTCCTGGCTTTTTTCCAAACAATCAAAATCAATGGGGAAATCCAGATTCACTTAACAACCGCATAATTTGTTTAACGAATTAAAAAGAGCCTTGGTAGTACAGTGGTCTAAAGCACCCTGTTATTAAGACCAGCTGCCTGCAATTACTGCAGGTTTGAATCTCGACAGACTCAAGGTTGACTCAGCCTTCCATCCTTTCTAAGGTAGGTAAATTGAGGACCCAGTTGTGGGGGCAATAAGCTGACTTTATATAAAAAATATACAAAAAAGGATGAAGGCTATTGCTTAGCACATTGTAAGCCGCCCTGAGTCTCTGGAGAAGGGCGGCATATAAATCAAAATTAAAATAAAAAAAAAAACGACCATGGCAAAATAGGTTGTAAAATCAGGCATGACTCAATGTCATCACCAAAGGATGTTCTAGCCCCGATTATGGTCGTAAGTCGAGGACTACCTACATTGCGACGTCCTGAAATCTAGAATGGAATGGAATGGAATAGAATAGAATAGAATAGAATAGAATAGAATAGAATAGAATTCTTTATTGGCCAAGTATGATTGGACACACAAGGAATTTGTCTATGGTGCATATTTATTTATTTATTTATTTATTTTATTTATTTATTTATTACATGTATTTATATGCCACCATTCTCCCGAAGGACTCAGTGCGGCGAACACAAGTTAAGAAACAAGTACAATAAAATCATAATTTAATCCAAATAATTAATTATTTATTAATGAGAGCATATGCTCTCAGTGTACAAAAAAGATACGTTCGTCAAGAATCATAAGGTACAACACTTAATGATAGCCATAAGGTACAAATAAGCAATCAAATCATACTAGGAAACAGAACAATATAAATCGTAAAAATACAAGCAACATGGTTATAGTCATAAATGGGAGGAGATAGGTAATAGGAAGGATGAGAAGAATAATAGTAATACAGTCTTAGTAAATAGCTTGACAGTGTTGAGGGAATTATTTGTTTAGCAGAGGGATGGCGTTCGGAAAAAAACTGTTCTTGTGTCTAGTTGTTCTGGTGTGCAGTGTTCTATAGCATCGTTTTGAGGGTAGGAGTTGAAACAATTTATGTCCAGGATGTGAGGGATCTGTAAATATTTTCACAGCCCTCTTTTTGACTCGTGCAGTATACAGGTCCTCAATGGAAGGCAGGTTGGTAGCCATTGTTTTTTCTGCAGTTCTAATTATCCTCTGAAGTCTGTGTCTGTCTTGTTGGGTTGCAGAGCCAAACCAGACAGTTATAGAGGTGTAGATGACAGACTCAGTAATTCCTCTGTAGAACTGTATCAACAGCTCCTTGGGCAGTTTGAGCTTCTTGAGTTGGCGCAGAAAGAACATTCTTTGTTGTGCTTTTTTGATTATGTTTTTGATGTTAGGTGTCCATTTTAGGTCTTGAGATATGATAGAAATTAGAAATTTGAAGGTCTCTACTGTTGACACTGTGTTGTCTAGTATTGTGAGAGGTGGAAGTACGGGAGGGTTAGGGTTAGGGTTACATGTAACAACAAACCTATTTCCAGAACCATCCTTCCCCAGCTTGCCTCCCTCAAGATGTGTTGCCATTACAACTATCAGAGTTTCTTAAGAACCATCATGGCTCAGGTCCTGAAGATGCCTGGGTTTGATAGATTCAGGACCTTCTGGATGTTTCCGGTGTTTAAATCCACGTCTCCATTTCTCTCCTCAGAAAATGGCCTGCAACATGGATGCTGAAAAAGCCAAACAATACAAGAACGTTGCAAATATCTCAGAGGTGATGAACGAACACTTCCTTTGCACAGGAGGCACTGATCCACGAGAGGACCCCAACGTTTGTTCACGTAAGGAGAATTGGCCCTAAATCTTATTCCTTCTCTTTAGATCTAGGAAGTATAGGAACTTCCAAAGCAGCAAGTGATCTGGCCCAGCGTTAACCCCATTAGGGTCTCCTGCTTGAGTAGGGGGTTGGACTAGATGACCTACCAGGTCCTTCCAACTCTGTTATTCTCTTTCTAATTCCTTCTATGTATACATTGATAATTAGGGGACTGGAGGCTAAAACATTATTTATTTATTTATTTATTTATTTATTTATTTATTCATTCATTCATTCATTCATTCATTCATTCATTCAATTTGTATGCTGCCCTTCTCTGAAGACTCAGGGCGGCTCACAATGCATTTAAAATCATTATAAAAAACATTTAAAAATTAAAAACATTAAAACTCATTTGAACATATGAAGAACGGTTGCAGAAAGTGGGTATGTTTAGTTTAATGGAAAGAAGGACTAGGGGAAACATGATAGCAGTGTTCCAATATCTCAGGGGCTGCCACAAAGAAGAGTTAATCAGGCTATTCTCCAAAGCACCTGAGGGCAGGACAAGAAGCAATGGGTGGAAACTAATCAAGAAGCAACTTAGAACTATGGAGAAATTTCCTGACAGTTAGAACAATTAACCAATGGAACAACTTGCCTCCAGAAGTTGTGAATGCTCCAACACTGGAAGTTTTTAAGAAGAGATTGGACAACCATTTGTCTGAAGTGGTGTAGGGTTTCCTGCCTAAGCAGGGGGTTGGACTAGAAGACCTCCAAGGTCCCTTCCAACTCTGTTATTCTAAATGGATAAGTGACTACTTAAGGCTGTGAGTTAGACTGGGGAGAAAAATTTTGGTGCCCTGAAAGAAAGACAAACAAGCTACTTCCATATTTTTATCAAGAAAAGAACATTGATGTCTCTCCAGTGTATGATTGCCCAAGCTGGAGCTGATAGTTGATTTACACAGAATTAAAATGAAATTAAAGGATTAAACCAAATTGAAAAATAGATTCTGCATGCCAGTTTGACAGCAATACTTCCAAGATGTTTCTGGGACTACTGGACTCAAGATTTCTCCAATGAGCTGTGCACCTCTTTTCTGAAATTCTTGTGCTCACGGATAATTTAGAATTTGCAAGGTAGATACTGAAGCACGAGAACATTCAGAAGAGAAGCCAGGACTGAAATAAACAAGATCAAGTTTATTAAAAATTGTCCGCATTAATTAATTTGGACACCAGGAGTCCTCCTTCTATCTGCTATAGTAAGCCCAAATGGCAGGGATAATTTTCTGTATTTGACTCACAAAGGGATTGCTTTCGTTGGGCATGTAATAGCCCTCCAATCTTTGTCTCCTCCTCCTCCACTTTGGAGATGCTTAATTTAGGGATCAGCAAGGGAAAGTTACTCTAATGGGAATTAAGCATCTATGTCAAGCCCTGGGGAAAGATTCAGGAGATTCAGGCAGTTCAAATGAGTATAAAGATTTATTGCATGATTAAGCTCTCTACATAAATCTGACCAACTAACCGTTAAGGGAAATGAGCGGGAGATAAGAGAGGCATTCAGGGTGGACTTAGATCTCTTGCGGGAACGCAGGGATTCGTGACTTATGATGCGTTTGACCCCTCCCTTGAGCTTAGCCTGATCATCTCCTGTATCCTGGCAGGCATTGAGCAGCTGCCAAGGAAAAAAGAGGGATATAATTATCTAATTAAAGTTAGAGAAGAAAAATTGTTATCCTGCAGCTTGCAAGAATAAATAGGAGAGCTAGCTTACTTAAGCAGTTTCTCTTCCAGGAGGTAATTTTAAAAATGCAGGTCAATCACAGGACAGTAGCGCATGGCAGAGGAATGTTCTACAAGACATGTTGCCTTCATATGAACCTAGGTAAAGGTAAAGGTTCCCTTCGCACATATGTGCTAGTCGTTCCCGACTCCAGGGGGCGGTGCTCATCTCCATTTCAAAGTCGAAGAGCCAGCGCTGTCCGAAGACGTCTCCGTGGTCATGTGGCCAGCATGACTCAACGCCAAAGGTGCACGGAATGCTGTTACCTTCCCACCAAAGGTGGTCCCTATTTTTCGACTTGTATTTTTTACGTGCTTTCAAACTGCTAGGTTGGCAGAAGCTGGGACAAGTATTTATTTATTTATTTATTTATTTTATTTTATTAGATTTCTATACCGCCCTACTCCCGAAGGACTCAGGGCGGTGCACAGCCAAACAATAAAAACACATACATACAAAATTTAAAATAGAATAAAATCAAATTAAATAATTTTGGCCCCGACAAATTTAAAACCCCAAACTTTTAAAACCAATTTAAAATTGAATATATAAAATACTAAAAGATATTTAAAATTTTAAAAATCTTTTATAAAAGAGGGGGAAAATTAGGCCAGGCTGGCCTGGTGAAATAGTAAGGTCTTTAAGGCGCGGCGGAAGGTGCGCAGATCCGGGATCCTCTGTATCTCTGGGGGGAGCTCGTTCCAGATAGTAGGTGCCCCCACAGAGAAGGCTCTCCCCCTGGGGGCCGCCAGTCGGCATTGTTTGGCTGACGGCACCCGGAGGAGCCCCTCTCAATGGGAGCGTACCGGCCAGTGGGAGGCTATTGGTGGTAGTAGGTGGTCCCGCAAGTACCCAGGTCCTAAGCCATGGAGCGCTTTAAAGGTGGTAACCAGAACCTTGAAGCGCACCCGGAAGACCACCGGGAGCCAGTGCAGCTCGCGCAGGAGGGGTGTTACATGGGAACGCCATGTCGCTCCCATTACCACCCGCGCGGCCGCACTCTGCGCCAGTTGGAGCCTCCGGGTGCTCCTCAAGGGGAGCCCCATGTAGAGAGCAATAGTCCAGGCGGGAGGTGACAAGGGCATGAGTGACCGTGCGTAACGGAGCTCACCCCGTTACACGGCACTAGGGCTTCGAACCGCTGAACTGCCGACCTTTCGATTGACAAGCTCAGCATCTTAGCCACTGAACCACCGTGTCCCTGTTCATATGAACATAGAGCGTAGAATAATAGTGTTGGAAGGGACCTTGGAGGCCTTCTAATCCAACCCCCTGCCTGTGGCAAGAAATCCTATATACCAGTGATAGCTAACCTTTTTGCCATTGCGTGCCAAAAGCAGAGGGAGTGCGGGGGGGGGTCGAGCGCACGTGTGCCCATACCCATAATTCAATGCGCCCCATCCCTCCACGCACACACTCCTTCCCGCTCCCCCCGCTTTTAGCATGCGACGGCAAAAAGGTTACTGGTGGGCCCAGAAAGCCCATTTTTCGCCCTTCCCAGGCTCCAGAGGCTTTCTTGGAGCCTGGGGAGGATGAAAACAGCCTCCCCTACCACCCCCGGAGGCCAGAAATGGCCCGTTTCCCAACTTCTGGTAGCCCCGAAAGGCCCGAAAATCAGCTGGCTGGCATGCCCATGCACGCTGGAGCTGAGCTAGAGCAATGCTCATGTGCCCACAGATATGGCTCCACGTGCCACCTGTGGCACGCGTGCCATAGGTTTGCCATCACGGCTATATACACCATTCCTGACTTTTTTGGGCTTGATGGGATGGATAAAGGTGATCATAGAAAGAATAACAGAACAGAATAATAGATATATGACAAGCAGGAAACCTCACAGAGTTTTGAAACCCAGCTTTCTACTTACTCGAGTTGGGCGGGGGGGGAGGAATCAGCGAAGGAACATTAACAATTCCATCCCTCTTCATTCATTACTTCATAAAATGAGAAACTTTTTTTGCTGGTGCCTGAAATGTTTGGGGAAACCCGCTTCTAGTACACCGTTCAGGCTGAGAGTTTGGCTGTGCCTAGCCAGCTAACTCCTTGGCTAAGCTCCTTTCTTCTCTTGGTTGCAGATGATTCTGGTGGGCCTCTCCTCATTCAGAGAAGGCTACGTTACGTCCAGGTGAGTGGTTACTTGAGCCAAACCCGGCCTCTTCTTCTCAGCCAAACAGACCAACATTCCAACCTTCAAATATAACTGGAAGCCCGTTTCCAAAAACCATTCGTTAAGGAGGTAGACACATACTACAGCATTACTATTTGGGGTCCCAAGAGAACAACGGGCAGCCATATTGGTGGATGAAGCAAAATTTATCTCTTACTTAGCTATGCTTTCTTCTCATTGGAGCAATGTTTTTCAAACTTGGCAACTTCAAAACGCGTGGACTTCAGTTCCCAGAATTCCCTAACCAGTGCTCCAAGATTTCTGGGAATTGGAGTTCACACCAAGGCCAGGGATGAAATTCAGCAGGTTCTGAAGGTTCTGGAGAACCGGTAGCGGAAAGTTTGAGTAGTTCAGAGAACCGGCAAATACCACCTCTGGCCGGCCCCAGAGTGGGGTAGGAATGGAGATTTTGCAATATCCTTCCCCCAGGAGTGGGGAGGGAATGGGGATTTTGCAGTATCCTTCCCCTGGAGTGGGATGGGAATGGAGATTTTGCAGCATCCTTCCCCTGCCACGCCCACCAAGCCACGCCACGCCCACTGAACTGGTAGTAAAAAAATTTGGATTTCAACACTGACCAAGACATTGCCAAGTTTGGAAAAACACTGCACTGGAGTCTGTCGAGCTTTACAATCACAGTTCTTTCTCCATCTTGCCTCTCCTTCTGCAGTTGGGTGTGATCAGCTGGAGCGTGGTTGACACTTGCAAAGGCAGTGGGTCATTATTGTGCGACTTGGAGCCCGTCAAGCAGAAGTCTCTTCCCCACGCTAGAGATTTCCACATCAACATCTTCAAAATTCTACCTTGGCTCAAGGAGCAATTGGGGACAGAGGTGGAGTTCTTGTAAATTCGCTTTTCTCTTTGCTTTGTTTTGAATAAATGGATCACGAATTTCCGCATCCTTAAAACTGAATGCAATATTAATGATTGTGTATTAAATATCAGGCGGGGAGAGAGGTGCACATGGGTGAGTTGTGTTGGCCCCAATTGTGTACTTATTAAGCCAGAAACCTGGTTAAATAATATGTGCTCCAACCTTTATTGGTGAAGCATAAGGAATCCAACCTAGTGCCATCTTGTTACACTTGGATGACAACTCTCAAAATGTCTAGCCATCATGATAAACAGCCACCATCTTGCATTTAAAGATAAAAAGTTTCCCGTCCAGTCATTTCTAACTCTAGGGGGTGGCACTCCTCTCCATTTCCTAGTTGAGGGAACCAGCATTGTCCGAAGACACTTTCTATGGTCATGTGGCCAGCAAGCCTATACACTGAGGCACACGGAACATTGTTATCTTCCCACCGAAGTGGTACTTATTAATCTACTCGCATTTGCATACTTTCGAACTGCTAGTTAGGCGGGCGCTGAAGTAAGTAACGGAAGCTCACCCCGTCGCGCAGCACTCAGGTCTCAAACCCGGGCTATCAACTTTCTAGCTGACAGGCTCAGCGTCTTTAACCACTGGGCCATTGCGCATTTACACGATCAGGATTTGTATACAAGTTTTGACTTTTATAAAACCACAGTTAATACTATTCCAGGTTCTGATGAGATGCTAAGCCTCCAACTCTGATTATGTGGGTCATGGCCAAGTCACGACCATAATGGAATCCATCATGGTTGGAACTTGTAATGGCCATAAAAACAGGTCAGTCAGATGACCAACCCAATTTTACAATCTTTTTCGAAGCAGCTATGCAGCGAAGCACCATGATCATTAAGGAAATCTGCAGTTGTGAAGTGAACCAATATTTAAACTTAACAAACACAGTTGTCAAATGAACCAATAGTTTTCTATGGGCACAGTTTTGCTGAACAATGGAAATAAATGCTGGGCTGTGGGAAAAAAAAGTGTTGTAATTTTTTTTTTTTTAAATTTTGATTTATATGCCGCCCTTCTCCGGAGACTCAGGGCGGCTTACAATGCGCTAAGCAATAGCCTTCATTCTTTTGTATATTTATACAAAGTCAGCTTATTTCCCCCACAACTGGGTCCTCAATTTACCTACCTTAGAAAGGATGGAAGGCTGAGTCAACCTTGAGCCTTGGCGAGATTCGAACCTGCAGTAATTGCAGGCAGCTGGTCTTAATAACAGGGTGCTTTAGACCACTGTACTACCAAGGCGGTCATGTGACCACGGGACGCTCCAAGCGGCCACAAGGAGGAGAAATGACCATTGGAACTTTGAATCGTAAGTAACTCCCAGGTAGATCTGTCAGAAATTTGAATCTACTCGCATCTGTATGCTTTCGAGCTGGAGCAAGGAACAGGAGCTCACCTATTGTGTGGCACTCAGGTCTCAAACCCAGACTGTCAACTTTCCAGCTGCTGGTCAATGGAGATTATCAATCATCCAGATCAGGGGTCTGCAACCTTAAACACTCAAAGAGCCATTTGGACCCATTTCCCAAAGAAAAGGAAACACCGGGAGCCACAAAACTCTTCCCGTGCCTGACTATTTCTTGAGCGGCCACAAAACTAGCATATGTAGTCGAATTAAACATTCTGTTTTCTTCTGAAACTTTTCTTGGATTTATCCATGGTTGGCCTACCGGGGGTTGAAAAGCTCAATAAATCACGTGCTGGCCGGTGTTGCACATTGGTGGTTGTGAAGCATATTTTGAGTGACGGAGCCGCAGCAGAGGGGTGAAAGAGCCACATACGGCTCCAGAGCCGCAGGTTGCTGACCCCTGATCCAGGTCATGGGTTTTTTTTGTTTTTGTTTTTAAATTTGATTTATATGCCGCCCTTCTCCGGAGACTCAGGGCGGCTTACAATGCTTTAAGCAATAGCCTTCATCCTTTTGTATATTTATACAAAGTCAGCTTATTGCCCCCACAAACTGGGTCCTCATTTCACCTACCTTAGAAAGGATGGAAGGCTGAGTCAACCTTGAGCCTTGGAGAGATTCGAACCAGCAGAAATTGCAGGCAGCTGTGTTAATAACAGGGTGCATTAAACCACTGTACTATCAAGGCTCTTTTGGTTGTCCCAAAGGTGCTTTTTTCAAGAGGCAACTGGACTTTCCCCCCCCCTTTTTTTTTTTGAAGACATTTCACTTCTCATCCAGAGCCGAAGAAGCTTCTTGGATGAGAAGAGAAACGTCTTTAAAGAAAAAAACAGAAAGTCCAGTTGCCTCTTGAAAAAAACACCTTTGGATTTTCCAGCTGACAGCCTCAGCTTGATGGCTGGTGACCAGTTGTAAGATGAGGATTACCTGTAGAATGGCATGATTGAGGAAGGCGATGAGGAAAGGGAACAGCACATCTGTGTGTATTTAATGGGGCTTTTTGACTTTCGAATTCTGGAGATCGTGGAGTTTGATGCTATGAGGAAAACGATGTACAGAAGGACCATTTTTCTATTTCACACCTCAACAATTTGAATCAATCATTCTTTTTCAGAAATACCAACAAATGAAAACCGTATTAATTCATACTATAGTTCATTAAAATGGCATCACAGGAATCAAAATCTTGATTGCAATGGAGGCTTACGATCAAATGAGCACATATGATAGGCATCAATCATTTCATCAATTCATTCCCAAGCTATAATGAAGAGCTTCCAATCTTAATGCAGCTTTATTGTCCATTTCCCCGATGAGACATACACAACATTTTAAAAAAATCATTCAACGTTTCTGAGCTGCCACATTTACTGCAGCAAAGCCTTGGTAGTACAGTGGTCTAAGGCACCCTGTTATTAAGCTGGTTATTAAGACTAGCTGCCTGCAATTACTGCAGGTTCGAATCTCACCAAGGCTCAAGGTTGACTCTCAGCCTTCCATCCTTTCTAAGGTAGGTAAATTGAGGACCCAGTTGTGGGGGCAATAAGCTGACTTTGTATAAATATACAAAAGTATGAAGGCTATTGCTTAGCGCATTGTAAGCCGCCCTGAGTCTCCGGAGAAGGGCGGCATATAAATCAAATTAAAAAAAAAAAAAAGCACTGGAAGATAATAGCACATCTTGTAAGCAGATCCGTAAAACTGGTTCCTTTGGGAGAATGTAACATTACATACCACACAGAAAGTAAGGAGGAACTAGTAAGCCAAGGAAACTGATAGTATGAAATAAAAGAAAATGCAATTCAAACGTCTACAAACAGCATTTCCCACATCCTTGCAAACCTTCATCCCTTCCCCCAGTACATAAATTCACACATTACTTTTTGATTTTCAAACTTATCTTTTTCCTCTTAAAGATCTCATCGATTTCATCCAGGCCACATCATCCCGGCTTCATGTCTGTTGTTGATGTTGTTTTTAAAGTTTTAATCATGGGTTTAAGTCAGGGGTCGGCAACCTGTGGCTCTGGAGCCGCATGTGGCTCTTTCATCCGTCTGCTGCAGCTCCGTCACCAGTTGACACCACAATTTTGAGGGGCTTCCAGTTAGGGAGGGAAAAGCATGGTGTGCCAGGAGGAGACTCTATGGTAAGGGGTGGGCTTTCCGGTTGGCTCCACAATTGAAAGGGCTTTCGGTTAGGACAGGTAGAGGAAAAAGGACGCCACATTAAGAAGAGACTCTATGGTGGGGGAACTGGACTTCCGGTCGGCAGAGGAAAAAAGATGCCGTGCTAGGAGGAGATTCTATGGTGGGGGAACCAGACTTCCGGTTGGCTCCAGAATTGAACGGGGGGCTTCTGGTTAGGACCTTTGTGACTCTTTGAGTGTTTAAGGTTGCCGACCCCTGGTTTAAGTGTTATAAATTTAATGTGATTTTATGTCTTTTTGTTTTTTCTTGAGAATTGCCCAGAGTTGGTTGAAAGATGGGCAGCTGTATACAAGTCTTAAATAAATAAATGTTTGTTTTGTTATTTGATCCTCATTCTTTCTGTCCAATCATTTTAAGATCTTTCTTTCATACTAGTTACTCGTTTTTTCCCTTCATTCTACTTTCAGTAGACATTCATTCTGCTGGTTTATTCTTGTGTGAAAATACAGATTTAAGTATCCCAGTTCCACTGCATCCTTCTCTTATATTTCTCACGGTTCTTACTTTTATATAGTCCGTTCGCCTGTAGATGTGCTCAATTTTGCCCCATTCTTTTTCGGCAACAGATCACAAACTATCAAAACTTGCTTTTCCATGGATATCTCCCTTTAATAAATATTCTACCAATACCTAAATACTTGCTCTAGTTTTTTTGCCTACTGTGTATAACTTACCATTATTTATTCCATTTCCTTCTCAAGCAGAACTATTCTTTTCCCCAAAATAAGACATCCCCAATTGGGCTTTTAAGAGCATCGCAATAAGGCCAAGCGCTTATTTCAGGGTTCAAAAAAATATAAGACAGGGTCTTATTTTCAGAGAAACATGGTATATTTTACTGCCTTTCGTGCATGTCTAATTGTTGTGTTGATTTATGAGGGGATCATTTCATGAAGTAGATTTTTTTTAAGCTGAATTGTACTGTATAAGTTTTTTCTCATCTAGAAGCCACTCTCTTCAAATTGTGGTGGGATATAAATATGATAAAGAAACATATAAGCAGTCTTGGCTTGATACATAAATGTTCAAACTGATACTTATCATGGCGTCGTAGCCTATCTAATATACACTGCAATTACAGAGAATCCTCATTTAATCATAATGTTAATTGGGGCTGGAAATTCTATCAACAAGCTATCAACATTCGATCATTGAATGCAAGACATATGATGCCACTTTATGCCAGCATTTCCACCTTGGGCAGTAAATGAGGACTTAATATGGTTGCGATTTTTGACTTCCTGCTGGCTTCCCCATTGACTTTGCTTGTGAGAAAGTCGGAAATCGTGATCAAATCATGGGACACAGCAGTGGCTGGAATGCGGCCAGTCACCGAATGCTCAAATAACAATCCCGTGACCAGGGGAATGCCACATGGGTCATAAGTATAAGGACCGGTTGCAAATACCACTCATTCAGCGCTGTTCAACTTGAATGTTCATTGAATGAGCGGTCATTAAGCACGGAGTACCTATAATTGGAATTTCCAGCCAATATGCTCTTCCTGAGCATAGAAAAATAACTTGCACATTCAAGTTCCCAAACAACACAACTCTACTAATCACAAGTATTTCTCACACATACATTAAACAACCAAATAGCATCACACTTCCTTGTCTTACTCCCTTGTTCAGTGTTGAACTTTTTGCTAAGCATTCAATTTTTTCACACACATGCTTTGTTTCTATTGTATCCTGGTTTTATTGCAATCAAGAACACTTATCTCTCTCATCTCTCTCTCTCTCCCTACCTTTGTTGTTGTTGTTAGTTGCAAAGTCGTGTCTGACCCATCGCGACCCCATGGACAACGTTCCTCCAGGCCTTCCTGTCCTCTACCATCCTCTGGAGTCCATTTAAGCTCATGCCGACTGCTTTGGTAACTCCATCCAGCCACCTCATTCTCTGCCACCCCCTTCTTCTTTTGCCCTCAATCTTTCCCAGCATTAGGCTCTTCTCCAGTGAGTTCTTCCTTCTCATTAGGTAGCCAAAGTATTTTGAGTTTGATCTTCAGGATCTGGCCTTCCAAAGAGCTGTCAGGATTGACCTCCTCTAGGAACCTACCTATCTACCCATCATTTATCTATGTCTGTCTGTCTGTCTGTCTATCATCTACCCATCCATCATTATCTATCTACCCATCCATCCTATCCATCCATCCCTTGTTCTCTCTATCCATCCATCATTATCTATCCATCCATCCATCTCCCACCTTTTTACAAATAACTCAAGGCAGCAAACATATTTAATGCATCTTCTTCCTATTTTCCACCTGTTGGGTGGGCTGGGCTGAGAGAGAGAGAGAGCAACTGGCCCAAGGTCACCCAGCTCGCTTTCATGGCTAAGGTGGACTTTCAACTCATGGTCTCTTCTGGGTTTGGAGAAATTTCCCGTAACTCATGTATTTGCTTTACCAGTGCCCTTTTAACTATCAACAAACTAAAATAAATATTTGTAACGGTCATAAGAGTTCTCAGCAACTGTCAGCTCAACAAAGTAGACCAAACTAAGAAACCGATGCCGTGTAGGATAAGAATTGTTTATTGGAACAGCTAAACAAACAAAAATCTTGCAAGTCTGAATGTACTTCCCTCGCCCGTCACTTTTACCTTCATGAGAAATTGAGAGGGGCTTGGCTTAGGTGTATTCTCACATTATTTCCTTGGCCTGACCTCAAGGCCCTCCTATCTGTTACATTGGTAGAGACATTTCTGCCTGTGCTTCAGAGCCATTCCCTCTGCCCTTTTATGCTAATCCCCCTTGCCTTTGTATCAAAAATAACAGGATTTTTCCGATTGTCAGGCCCAGATGATGTCACATAACTCTCCCATAAGCAAAAACTGCATCCGTATTTTAACTTTTCTCCACCTACGCCCTCTTAGGATTTTTCAACATTCTGACAGAATCTATTACAGGCAGTCCTCGACTTACAACCGTAATCGAGCCCAAAATTTCCACTGCTAAGAGTTTTGCTCCACTTTAGGACCTTTATTGACACAGTGTTTAAGTGAATCGCCGCCGTGGTTAAGTTAGTAGCGCGCTTGTTAAGTGAATCTGGCTTCCCCGTTGCCTTTGCGCTTGTCTGAAGGTTGCAAAAAGGGATCGCGTGACACACACACATCCCGAGCCGCTGCCACCGTCATAAACACGGACCACTTGTCAAGCATCCAAATTTCGATCAAGGGACCATGGGGATACCGCCATTGTCATAAAAGTGTGAAAAATGGTCATAAGTCACTCCCCCACCATTTTCTTGTTGTTTACTTCGAATGGTCACTAAGCGAACGGTTGTAAGTTGAGGACTACCTGCATCCTCTTTTTTTACATCCACTTCCCCCATTTATTTGGTTGGGAGATTAGTTTTCATACAGGAGTTTTACTTTCTCGTCTTGCAGTCCTCTTGTGACTTACATATACTTAAATCATAGGATTCAAAACAAGCTGGTCTTTTTCTATGTAGACGCTCATCATATTATCCCCATTATTAACTCTGCTTGATGCTTGGCTAATTCTGAAGCTAATAAATTGCTTTTTGTTATCAAATTAAATGTTTTTTCCAGCCTGGTTGCCTCAACCTTCCTTTCTTTCCATTGCAAAACATCTGAGGAAAACAATCACTTCATTTTCTGTGACTAAACCACATTTAGAAAAATCTTCAGTATTTACATTTCATCTATATTTTCTTTTAAAACAACCCCCCCCCCCCATATCCAAGTTGGGGAAAACCTTGAGGTTCAACCTTGTATTAAAGACACCGAAAAGGACACAGTGCTTTCCAAAGCCTCACTCCTAAAACTGGAATTAGCATGGTTCAAAACTTTTTTTTTTTTTAAAAAGCCAACATTTATTTGAATCTTTTAAATGAAAAGGCAGAGAGAGGACAGGGGAGAAACGGGTCTTCCTACGCTTCAGAAGTTGTCCTCTTTGTAGATAACCTGGGCTCGCTTGTCTCGATGAGAACCATTGATGGTGTTTATCACAGCTGAAAAAAAGGAAATGGGAACACATCAGCGATCCTAGCAAAAGATAAATAGCTTTTGGCTTATCCCACTTCTGGCTTTGCTCCCAAAAAGAGAAACCATGCGAAGCCTGTGGCATAAGGCCTTCCTCCCTCTCCCCCACCCCGCAATTTGGGGTGCAGAAACATTTTGGGAGGGACTTGATCTTGGGAACCTCTGATGTCAAATCCTAGTGATGCTAGAGAACCTAGGCCTCTTTATTTAGTCCATTCCCATTTTAAGATTTTCAAGCACAAGCAGGCACAATGTAAAATGGCACTTGGGTGCACGAGCAGAAAAGATTATTTGGGCTGAAAATCTGTAGAGATTCTCGGTCATCCAGGCCATGGTTGTCCCAAAGGTGCTTTTTTCAGGAGGCAACTGGACTTTCTGGTTTTTGCTTTTGAAAATGTTTCGCTTCTCAACCAAGAAGTTTCTTCAGCTCTGACAGGATGGTGGGGAATGGAAGGGTTTATATTCCTTGCAGACAGCTGCTCATTTGCATCCTTTGAGAGGGTCTTCAAAGAAAAAACAAGAAAGTCCAATTGCCTCCGGAAAAAGCACTTTTGGGACAACCATGACCTCGACGACTGAGAATCTCTACAGACTTTTAGCTATACAATTTGGGATGAACACCCTTTGAATGGTATGGGAGTAGGAATGGATTTCCAGAGGGGAAAAATTGCAGACTACAGAAACCAGGAGCACTACTTCAGGTGACCCTGAGGACACAGATAAACCTCCAAGTGCTTCAAGGACCTTCTAAAAGGATGCAAACGACCAGCTGTCTGCAAGGAATATAAATCCTTCCATTCTCCACTATCCTGTCAGAGCTGAAGAAGCTTCTTGGATGAGAAGCGAAACGTCTTCAAAAGAAAAAACAAGAAAATCCAGTTGCCTCCTGAAAAAGCACCTTTGGGATTATTTGGGCTGCTTTTAACATAAAAGTAAAAATGGCCTGGGAAACTTGTTGGCCGTACTCCCATGCTTCTGTCTACATCCATCTCCTCACCCAAAGTTCCCCACACGGATTTGCCGACGGCCACATCCAGCATGGGCTGCTTGCGAGCGATGCTGACCATCAGCTTCACGTCTTCCACCACGGTATCGTTGAGCTGGGAGGAGACAAGACACCCAATCAACTCAGACCAACTTTGAGAAAACAAGAGACTTCTCTGTCTCTGGTACAGGCCAATAAGACTTAACCAAGCCAAGACCCATCATCCTATCGTGATGCAAGAGAAGGGGGGGGGAGGAAATAGGGAGGGGCCGATTGCAGCTATAATAGGGCTATTCGAACAGACAATTGAAGAGCAGAAAATGATGGAGGGAAATGGGTGCTCCAGGACTGTTCCTCCTGATTTATTTATTAAATGTATATAGCGTCCATCTCACTGTTGAAGTGACTCTAGCCAGTTTACAAAGCCATAAAAAGATAATACAAAACCATTAAAATGAAAGGAGATTAAATCAAGACAAAAACCCATTAAAGTTAAGAGAAATTAAATAAAGATTAAAAACTAAAAGAGGATTGGAGACACCTGGGTGGAAGTCTTCTCAGCCACTCCCAGCATAGGCCTCTATCATTCATTCATTCACTCACTCACTCACTTTCACTCCCTCTCCCTCCATCTTCCTCCCTCCCTCCCTCCCTCATCTTCCTTCCTTGCTTCCTCCTTCCCTCATCTTTCTTCCATCCCTCCCTCCCTCCCTTCCTCTCCCTCCCTCTTCCTTCCTCCCTCCCTCATCTTCCTCCCTCTCCCTCCCTCAGCTTCTTCCCTCCCTCCCTCCCTCTTCCTTCCTTATTATTTTTACAAATAACACAAATAACACATATCCAACATATCCACCTCCTATTTTCCTCACAACCACCACCTTTTGTGAGGGTGAGGTGGACTGAGGGACAGTGACCAGTCCAAGTCACCCGGCTGGCTTTCATGGCTAAGGCGGGACTTGAACTCATGATCCCCTGCTTTCTAGCCTGGTACCTTAACCATTATTAGACCATACCGGCTCTCATTTTAATTCCGCTACCCATAAGAAAACCCCTTCTCCGATACCTGAGCAACAGCTTGATCTGCTGATTCAATCTTGTCATAGGTCACAAAAGCACAGCTGAGTATAAGGAAAAAATGAAGAGCAGTTAGAGAGGTGGGGTGGGGGTGGGAAAAGTCCCATGTGGCTAAGTGCTCAGTGGCACAAGGCACCATTTACCGAGGAACCAGGGTCAACGTGAGTCAAAGTTACACATCTGTTCCTCTGACCTTAGTGGAAAAAGAAGAAGGAAAGGAAGGAGAAGGAAAGGAATTTTTGGATGCCATTGTGGTTGCTTCCAGCAACAGCCACTGACTTAGGTCACCAGTACATTATACCCTCCTGACATTTTGATCTGGGAGTTCACATTTTTCAGCACGTAAAATAAGATTAAGGCACATGTGTAATCATGCCCATATCTTCCATTTAAAAAATAATAATTAACATTTTGTGTACTAAATATTTAATCTGAAATTAATACCTATTACTTGCGTCATTTCACATAGCAGTGTTTTTCAGCCACAACTTTTAAGATGTGTGGGCTTCAACTCCCAAAATTTTCCAGCCAACATATTGGTGGGGCAGGAGGGGGAAGGGAGGGGAATGAAGAGAAATATCAATTCCTTTCAAGATTTATTTTTTTTTTTAAATGACGCTATCCTCTTCCTATGACTGGCGAAGTGATGCTAAAAAAAAAGATTTGTCTATTTTGGATACTGATCTTTCTTCATATCTACCCAATTCTGAGAAACAAATCTGTAAACTTATTCAGTAAAATGAAAGTTCAGTAAGCCATGACTTAGCCATGTTCCTCAAATTTAAGAGTTGAGATTTAATAGACAATCTAGCACGAAGGGATAAACCTTTGAATAAATGTATCATCATTGGATATTCTGAGGTAACAGAAATGAGGTAGCCATTTTGAAGACTGTCGCTGTTTACAGGTAGCCCTCGATTTACAGCCATTTGTTTAGTAAGTTTTTCACGCTTACAACTATTGTAGAATCCTCACAGTCATGTGATCGAAATTTGGCATGCTTGGCAAGTGGCATGTATTGCTGATCGTTGCAGTATCCCCGGATCATGTGATCAACTTTTGCGACCTTCCGACGAGCAAAGCCAACGAGGAAGCCTGATTCACTTAAAACAACCAGGTTACTAACTTAACAACGGCAGTAATTCATTTAACAACACTGGCACGAAAGGTCGTAACATGGGGCAAAACTAGTTTTAACAGCTGTCTCGCTTAGCGATGGAAATATGGGTGTTCAGATGCAGTCGTAAGTCGAGGACTACCTATATTTAATTAAGGAGTGATGGGTGTACTGAAATGTATTTGAATATAAAGAGCTCGGGTTGGTAGTTGGGCTGTGGTTTTGAGTTCCGAGCTTGGCAATTTGGTTGCAAACGTTTCACCACCATTCGAGGAGGCATCGTCAGTGCATTTTTGAATTGTGCTCATCTGTCAAGAGCACTGGCCTTTAAAATATCTTTTTATGCGATGCAAATTAGTGTGGATGTTGTTTGTTCAGCTACTTCTGAGTCATGGTCTGACTTTGGACAGTTTGATAGGCTGGTTGTTGTTACTGAGCTGTTACTGTCTTTGTGTCAACCCTGAAGCGAACCCAGCTGAGGCCATTTTTATGGCTTCAGGATTCCCATTAGACAGGGAGGAGGGAAAATAGTTAGCTGGGGCTTTGTAGTCATAACAAAAAGTTTTCCTGTGGGAACCAAGGACATTTCAATAGGTGGCGGGGAAGAGTAGTAGTAGAGTAACCGAGCAACTGGCCGGCACCTCGATTGGACAATGTGACTGATAACTGGGGGTGGGGAGGGGAACTTTCACTTTTTAGTTAGGTGAAAACCGTAGGAACTTTCAGAGTCGGTTTTCACCAGTTGTGTCAATATGATGTATCCAATAAATCAGGGGTGTCAAACTCGCATCATCACAGCGTCATCACATGATATATCATGACTTTCCCCCCCTTCGCTAAATCAGGCATGGGTGTGGCTAGCATGTGATGCATGCGGCCCACGAGTTTGACAGCCCTGCAATAAATTGTTCTTTGAGGAATCTACCTGCCTCGGAGTTCTGCTTTCAATGGGTGCATTACTTGGAACGTTGACACTTTCGTTTTAAGTACCGTCTGTGTGACTGAAACCAGACCATGACTCAGTAATATCCGAACAAACAGCACTAATTTACATCACATAGACAGTACTTAAAAACCAAAGACCATGCCTCAGTAACAACAACCAGCCAGTCAAACAGTCCGAAGTCAGACCATGACTCAGAAGTAGCCGAACAAACAATGTCCACACATTGTATGTGATGTCCACACATCACATACAAAGGTATTTAAAGGCCAGTGCTCTGACAGATAAGCACAACTCAAAAGCGTACTGACGATGTCTCCTCGAATGGTGATGAAACGTTTGTAACCAAATTGCCGAGCTCAAAGCTCAAACCAACAGCCCATTGAGTGAATTGTTTGGCAGGATTCTTCATTTGCATGCACATTTCTACTGAGGGCATCATTCGGACTTTCTTCAGAGATCCTGTCCAGGTTCCTCCCAGCACTCACTTGCGGACACTGTCGACAGAAAGGTCAATGATCTTCCCAAAGGCCGAGAAAGCCGTGGTCAACATGGCCTCATTCATATTTGCCCCATACACGTACAACGTGTTCCCTTTGCGAGGGACGCGTCCCTCGGGGTAAGAATCCGATCCTGGATAACGAAAGGAGAAAAAAAAAAAAGAGAGAAGAAGTGGTTGAGAAAAAGTGTGTTATTTCGGTTCTGTCTGTCCTGCAAACCACACAAAAAGTGTTGTGGTCCGCCAGCAGCTTGCGGAGCTGGCAGTGGAGTCAGACAGCGATGAGGCTGAGGAAGTACCTGGGCCAGACCTGGAGGCTGGGGAAGGCCCGGATGAGGGTCTGTGTGGGAGGCAGAGATGGGGCCAGGGCCATCGGAGAGTGATGTGCGGACTCTGGAGCCTCCAGAGGCTGACAGTAGAGAGGCAGAGGAACAAGAGAAGCCTGTTCCTAGTGCACGTATGAGAAGAGCTGCCAGAAGGTAGGAGCAGCTAAAGCAAAGAGGATGACTCGGGAGTAGGGCCAAGAGATGATTGGCCCCTCCCATAAGGCTTAAAAGACCAGCAACTGCATTTGGGCTCTTTGCTGGAAAACAACCATTGAGAGATTTGCTTCGTGTTTGGCTGTATTTCTTTCTTGTCAGCGTCTTCTGTTCCTGAACTGTTGCCAAGAAAAGCCTTTGGCAGTTTGCCTAATTATCCCAAGGTCAGAGATAAACTGAAGGTGTTTTGAGAACTTTGTTTTCATTTAATTTGGAATTAAGCTGAGAATGAGTTAATTCTCAGCTGTTTAATAAAATCTGTTTGTTTTGGGAATTGTTTTGCATTTGATATTAACTACGTGGGCCTGGATCACAACAGAAAGTCTTCTTCTCTTTTCTCCTGCAGAATCAATATTTTGTAGATAGTTGTGTGTAAACCCATCTGCAGATAAGCCGACCCTTCAATTTTTTACCAAAATATTGTGAAAAACATGCCACTCACAGATAAGCTGACTCTTGAAAATTCTTGTATGCTTTAAATATCATAATGGGCTTATCCTTGAATTATGCATTTGTTTTGGTTAAAAGTTTTAGGGTCAACTTATTCTTTATATGCAAGTACTTTAAAAAAAAAAAAGTGATTTCCATATATTCTCGCAAAAAAGCCAAACCCGATTTCTAGGGTGTATTCTGCCACCTGAAATGGTCTTGTACGGTAACCGGTTCATATTTATAACGGTTGCAGTGTCCCAAGGTTACATGGTCATCTTTTGCAACCTTCTGACAAGCGATGTCAATGGGGAAGCCAGATTCGTTTAACAACCAGGTTACTAACTTAACGACTGTGGCGATTCACTTAACAACCACGGCAAAAGGAAGGTTGTAAAATGGGGCAAAACTCACTTAACAGCTGTCTCAGTTAACAGAAATTTTGAGCTCAATTGTGATCGTACGTCGAGGACTACCTGTATATCTTTAATGATGCAAGTAGTTTGCTTTAGTCTGGCAAGATTTCTGTCTATAGCGGAGAAACAATAAAAAGAAATTGCTTTGAAGTAACTCAGCCCGTTAACACTGCCCTCCAGAAGAACCAAGTATTTCTTACGGCGGTAGCCTTCTCTGTCCCGTTCTCGCTCACGTCCTCGATCTCGGTCTCTGTCCCGGTCTCTATCTCGGTCTCTGTCCCGGTCTCTATCTCGGTCTCTGTCCCGGTCTCTACTCCTGTCCCGGCTACGATCCCGCTCACTGTCCCTCTCAAATCCATGCAGACTTTCACTCTGATCGGATTCTTTGTCTGGATCTCTGCCTTCTTCTGGCTCTTTCTCTGGATCTCGCAGGCTATCACTAGAGCTCACAAAGCTAGGAGAGAGCACGGAAGGAAGAGAATTGATTCACGAGAAGTGGTGGAATCTAGAGAAGCAGGTAGTTATTGAGAGGACATTAGGCGCCTACTTCCCCAAATCAGAGCTACAGGGCACAGGAGGAAATAACTGGCATGAAACCTAACACTTGGCCTTGTAGGCAAAGAACAATCAAGACTGACAGATTTGCCTTCATGTTTTGCTTTCAGCCTTTGAGTATTGTATCACTTGCCTTTTCTATCCTCCCATTCGCTTGCAAACTTTTAAAAGTTTTCAGTTTTTAATATCTACGTTATCATTCCCCAAATGTTTTGCAAATGAGTACTTTTAGCAATGTCATTCTCACTCTTTGCATCTGACCTCCAACTGATTTCTTTCCATTCCTCGGGATAACCCTATTCCCATAATAAACATGATACCTCTCACAGTCTCATAAGACTCTGTTGAGGTTCTTTTTTTAAAGCAGGGGTCCCAAACCCCCAGTCCGTAGCCTGGTGCTGGGCCTTAGACCATTTGGAACCGGGCCAGAGAAGTGGTGGGTGAGTGTGTGCACACAGCTGCATTTGTGAAAGCGGCACGCATGCACAACCATCCCCTCTCCTCTCCCACTGCTGCTGCCTCCGCCTCCAATGGTCCATCGACCCAGACAGGTTGGAGTTCACTGTTTTAAAGGCCAGTCACTTGTAAAATAACAATAATTATAGGGCAGTTTTTCACTTACGCACATAATGGTACTTTGCACATCTGAATTAAAGCTCAGCAAGTATCCAGATCTGTTGAGCCCTGAATGGTCTGCATGACATCTGAATCTTTGGTTATTAACAAGGAGTGACAATAAAAGAATTCTCCACTTCCAAAATTAGTATTCAAAGTACAAATTGATGTGTGGAAAAATAACCAATTCTAGTTTTCAGAATCAGGCTCCAATTCCTTAATTTTAGGTGCACAATTTTTTCACACCAAGGAACCTGTTGACCTGTTTAGTACCAGCTAAAACCACCAAAGTGAGAAAGTTACACTGAACAGCAATGGTTGTCCCTCAACACAAAAATACTTTAGTTAATGCAGCCTTTATCAGCTGGATTTCTCCAGAGACTAGAAAGATTCTGCTCGCCAAAGCTGGCATCAACGGAATTAACCTGATAGTACCATAAGAGTCACCTTATCGGAGAGATAGGAGACCTATAAATGTAATTGATAAATAAAGGAATAAAAATAAATAAATGATGGCGTGAATGAAACCAACCTCTCGTATAGATACTTCCTTTGGGGGCGCCGGGCCTAAAATGAAAGATTTAAAAAAAAAAAGGCTTATTAAGTATGAAATTACATTCTAAGTCTGGTGCAGTCGTGTGATTTTTCACTGTGACCACAGGGCTTAGTAAAAGAGTTGCCAAGTTCCCAATCATGGTTGGTAAGTAAGAAATACCTGTAGATGCACCGCCTTGAGATGTTACAAACAAAATTTTGAAATTTACAATGCAGAGCGCATTATAATAATCCACATAGGAGAAGACCAAGATATGAGTGACTGAACGGATATTCTGAACCACTGGACATATATATTCTGAACCGCTGAAGGAGAACCCCGCAAGCACTGACCTAACCAATTTTCCATCCTGATTAGGGAATTGTATCTCAGTTACCTCTCGGGAATCGTCATCTGCTGAGACGCTGCGCTGAAAGGGCTGGTAAGTTGGGGCAGATCCCTTCTTCGTCTCCTAAAGACAAACAGGCATTAAAAAGCAAGTAAAAGCAACCCCGACCCACTAGATGTCTACGGAGATTCTCAGTCATGGTTATCCCAAAGGTACTTTTTTTCAAGAGGCAATTGGGCTTTCTTTGTTTTTCTTTGAAGACATTTCACTTCTCATCTGAGAAGCTTCTTCAACTCTGACTGGGGGATGGAAGGATTTATACTCCTTGCAGACAGCTGGTCATTTGCATTCTTTTAGCGAGTCGTTGAGGTGACCTGGAGGTTTATCTGTGTCCTCAGGGTCACCTGAGTGGTGCACTTAAAAGACAAAGGCCACTCTTTTGAAGACAGCAAAGTCCACATTTTGGACAGAAAGGACTGCTGGTTTGAAAGAGGGGTCAAAGAGGCCATCTATGTCAAAATTGAACAGCCCTCTCTCAACAGAGGGGGAGGGACACGGCATCATCTATCGCCAGTCTACAACACAGTCCTTTCAACAGTTCCAAGAAGGCTCCACACCCATTTGCATCCCCTCCATCCAGTCAGAGCTGAAGAAGCTTCCTGGATGAGAAGCAAAACGTCTTCAAAGAAAAACCAGAAAGTCCAGTTCCCTCTTGAAAAAAGCATCTTTGGCCCAATCCATACTGGCTGGGGAATTCTGATAATTGAAGTCCACAGGTCTTAAAAGTTCCCCAGGATGGACACCCCTGCATTAGAGGGTTTCTCCTTGCACCTCCTTGCATTAACCCAGCTTACTTTTGGCTTCACCTTCCGAGTCCAAGAGCGTTTGAATCCCGAGTTCTTGTTCTCCACTTTAATAGCACTGATGGCCCCCGTTTTCACCAGCATCTTGGCTTGTTCTGTGGCTGTCGCGGTGTCGACTACTGGCTGATCTGAGATGGCTGGAAACAGGGAAGAAAGGAAAAAACTGCTGTCCCCAGATGGGCAACATTGGCAGGAAGGCGGCTCCCTCACAGCAGCCCATTTTTTTCACAAAAGTCCGACTTACATCGTTTAATTCCTCCCTGGATAGCCTGACTGGTTGAACCCTGCTGCTTTTTTAAGGCCATGAGGGCCTTTTTCTGGATGGGAAGAAGAAAAAAAATAAAAGTCAATAAAAGATACGCATAGTTCAACATCCCTTCCTTCCCAAAAATAACTTTTGCTAGTCCCTTTCTTTCCTATTGTACTAAAACATCTGGCTGACTGAACACCCCTTGATCTATACAGGTAGTCCTCGACTTACAGCCACAACTGAGCCCAACATTTCTGCGGCTAAGCAAGGCAGTTGTTATCTTTGCTCCATTTTATGACTTTTCTTGCCGCAGTTGTTAAATGAATCACTGCAGTGGTTATAAAAGAGAATCTGGCATCCATACTGACTTCGTTTGTCAGCAAATTGCAAAAGGTGGATTACATGACCCCTGGACACTTCAACTGTCATAAATACAAGTCAGTTGCCAAGTGCTCAAATTTTGATCACGTGACCATAGGAATGCTGCAACAGTCGTGTGAAAAAACAGTCATAAATCATGTTTTTGAATGTCGTCGCAACTTCGCTAAACACACTGTTGTTAAGTCAAAGACTACCTGTACTTATAAGAATAATTTCACCCTCAAGGTAAACAAGCTCACCTTTTTCTTGAGTTTGGCAAATTTCTTCTGTAGAGCCTCCTCATCTTCTGTTAACCCGGGTGGCAAAACAATCATGATGGAATGAAACAGTACTGCCTAGAATTGGAAACCAAGGAAGGAATCAGTCAGGTGGAGCTTGGTGCTTGATTACTGAAGGGCATACATGCAGGCAGGGCACCCTTAGTATTAGCAAATACACATTTAATATATTTTACCATTTCATTTACGGTATTTCCATGCCTGATCAGAATCATTGGCTCTCTAATAAATCTTTTAATTTAAAAAAGAAATCAATTTTTATCTCCACTATCTATGCTTAGATGTTTTTTTTTATTGCAATATGGTTTAAAATTGGACAAATGTTCCAGTTTTTAAAAATTGAATGCTGTAGTTAATGATGCAGCTAGCTTTTTGCTTGTCATTCTGAGGAAAGCAATACTTATCGGTAACATTCGTATATTTTATTACTGCATTTTTCTTGCAATGTATTAATAGAATAGAATTCTTTATAAGTGTGATTGGACACACAGGGAATTTGTCTTTGGTGTATATGCTCTCAGTGTACATAAGGAGAATAAAATACATTCATTAAGAATAAAAAGATACAACACTTAGAGATAGTCAAGGTTACTAATAAGCTATCAAATCGTACTAGGAAACAAATAAAAACAATATAAATTGCAATATAAATGCAATTTCCATTTGTTACAGCAAACATATTACAGGTACTCCTCGACGTACGACCGCAACTGAGCCCAACATTTCTGTTGCTAAGTGAGAGAGTTATTAAGTCTATTTTGCCGCATTTTACAACATTTTCTTGCCAGAGTTGTCAACTGACTCACCGTAGTTGTTCAGTTACCGTTTTCCCCAAAATAAAACCTCCCCTGATAATAAGCCCAATCAGGCTTTTGAGCGCATGGCAATAAGGCCAAGCGCTTATTTCAGGATTCAAAAAAATATAAGACAGGGTCTTATTTTTGGGGAAACACAGTAGTAATACGGTTGTTAGGTGAATCTAGTTTTCCCATTGACCTTGCTTGTCAAAAGGTCGCAAAAGAGTGATCACGTGACCCCAGGACACTGCAAACCGTCATATATGAGTCATTTGCCAAGTGTATGAATTTTGATCACGTGGCCATAGGGATCCTACAATGGTCGTGTGAAAAACAGTCATAAGTCACTTTTTTCAGTGCTGTTCAGGCAGCCCCCCTTTTTTTTTGCAGTGGGTCCCAAACTAATACAGGTGGTCCCCGACTTACGACCACCAACTGAGGCCAACATTTCTGTTGCTAAGCGAGACATTGGTTAAGTGAGTTTTGCCCCATTTTATGACCTTCCTTGCCACCACTGTAAAGTGAATCGCTGCAGTTGTTCAGTTAGCCACACGGTTGTTAAGTGAATTGGGCTTTCCCACTGACTCTGCTGGTCAGAAGGTCGCAAAAGGGAATCCTGTGATGCAGGAAGACGGTTAACATGGTCATAAATATGAGCCAGTTGCCAGGCATTTGAATTTTGATCACGTGACCATGAGGACGATGCAGTGGTCGTAAGCGTGAAAAACGGTCCCAAGTGTCGTCATAATTTCGAACTGTTGTTAAATGGACTTAAGTCAATGACTATCTCTATACATCTCATGTATTTTAATATGAGAAGGCATCATACACACACACACACACACCACTTAATTTTTAGTCCGTTAAATTCCTGTAAATTTATAATGGGATTTTTTTTATACTTCCACCTTTATTGCACTGCTAGCTGCCCACTTTGGATAGAGAGGTGGGCAGTGTAGAAATTGAATAATAAATTAAAAATAATAATATAACCTGCTGCCACAGTCCTAAGAATGAAAAAACAGCCCTACAGTAAGTCCCTTTTTTTTTTACTCAGGGGCCCCTGTAACTTCTAACGGTCCCTAAACGAACCCGCCATAAGTCAAGGACTACCTGCTGCTGGACAATTTGCCTGGATTTGGCTGCAGTTCAGAAACCATTAGTCCAGGGGTGAAATCCAGCAGGTTCTGGAGAACAGATAGCGCAAATTTTGAGTAGTTCGGAGAACCAGCAAATGCCACTTCTGGTTGGCCCCAGAGTGGGATGGGGATTTTGCAGCATCCTTCCCTTGGAGTGGGGTGGGAATGGAGATTTTTCAATATCCTTCCCCCAGGAATGGGGAGGGAATGGGGATTTTGCAGTATCCCTCTCCTGGAGTGGGGAGGGAATGGAAATTTTGCAGCATCCTTCCCCTGGAGTGGGGGGGGGAATGGAGATTTTGCAGCATTCTTCCCCTGGAGTGGGGTGGGAATGGGGATTTTGCAGTATCCCTCTCCTGGAGTGGTGTGGGAATAGGGATTTTGCAATATCCTTCCCCCAGGAGTGAGGTGGGAATGGAGATTTTGCAGTATCCCTCTCCTGGAGTGGGGAGGGAATGGGGATTTTGCAATATCCTTCCTCCAGGAGTGGGATGGGAATGGAGATTTTGCAGTATCCCTCTCCTGGAGTGGGGTGGGAATGGGGATTTTGCAATATCCTTCTTCCAGGAGTGGGATGGGAATGGAGATTTTGCAGTATCCCTCTCCTGGAGTGGGGAGGGAATGGGGATTTTGCAGTATCCTTCCCCTGCCACGCCCACCAAGCCACACCACGCCCACCAAGCCACGCCCACAGAGCCGGTAGTAAAAAAAACACACCACTGTTTTAGTCAGAAACCTTCAGGAAGTGCAGCCAAAATCCAGACAGGTCGTCCAGCAGCAGGCAGTCCTCGACTTACGGCAATTCCACACACCCCTCACCCGGATAGGCACTTCGGGGGAGGGGGAGAGAATCCCGGAGTGGATTTGTGGGCGTGTCTAGAACTCACCTGCAAAGGCTCCAAATTTGGGGGAACCCGCAGATTCGACCTCGCCTCCTCCTCCCCCCCCCTCACGCCGCAGCCTACGAATCCCTCAAGCAACGCAACGTTCCACTCCGAACCCTCCCACAATGCACCGCGCCTTCCCAGGATGCACCGGGAACCTGTTTCCCTCCTCCTCCTCCTCTTCCTCCTCCCCCCCCACACCCCCAGCTTTCCCTACGAACTGGTGCTGAGCCCGTCCCAAGATGCATTGCGGCTCAGGCCAACGCTGAACGTAATGACGGTTGGGCATCCTTGGTTTGATTCCTCCCCCCACCCACACACACACACACACACACTCTGTCTCACCGGTCGTTGCTGTTTTTAATGGCTTGCCTTTTCAGTCTAGAGTCGACCCTTCCCAAGATGGAGGAGGAGGAGGAGGAGTGAGGAGGCTTAATTTGCATAAACCGCCCAGCGACGCGAAAGCTATTGGCTGAAAATTACAGGAACCCGAGCCTTCGGAGGCACGAGAGGGGGGGAAAATAAGGAAAGGAAAACAAGAGATTTGCATACTGGGCTCTCATTGGTTGAACCGTGACACCGTGGTGACGTTCGAAAGTACGGGATGATCCGAAACCGAACAGTGTTTTGTTTTGTTTTTTAAAAAAAACGAATTTGAATATCCAGCTGCTCATTGGCTGCCTTCGGGGTTTTGGCGGAACAGTCGAGTGAGGAAGCGCTTTCGTTTTTGCATACCGCCCCGTCATTGGGCAGCTGCTGTTGCTTTGTTAGCCAATCCGTCCCTTCGTTCGAAACCGAAGCCACTTTCTCCGACCAGGCTTCCGCCCTTCATTCGATTGCCCAATCCCGTTTTACTTCCGCTTACTGACGTCTGACAGCAATGCATACCGTCACCCTGAGAAACAGGGCGTGGCTTCAACTGCCCTTCCTTTTGGTAAGGTTCCGCCCTTAGTATCACAGCCCGGAGGGGAGAGTTTCCGGGTCAATCCATGGGCGAACCGTGGCAGCCGAGATGGATCTGGAGAGGATAGGTGAGGACGGGGTAGAGATCCTCCTGCGTCTGGCTCAGCTAATATAATGGAGCCTTTTAAAGTCTGTTGCAATTGGTCCTGCTCATTATCTTTTTAAAATATTTTTTAAAATATTTTTTAAGAAAATCTTCCCCACCCAATTGTCCTCTAGATCTAGTGGATTGCAACCCCCATATTCCCCACCCCGCACGTGCAGTGATTTAGGATTATGGGGATCATGGTCCAATGTGCCTGCCTGCAGAAAGCTGGGGATCCCCTTTCAATTCAAAATGCAATCCTATAGGCTGCACTAACAGGGATAGAGTCAAGCTCATGTGAAATATTAGTACCACTTTATAATGCCTCGGGCATCTAGCTTTGGTCTCCACAAAGTGCAGAGAAGAGCAACAAAGATGATTAGGGGACTGGAGGCTAGAACATATGAAGAACGGTTGCAGGAACTGGGTATGTCTAGTTTAATGAAAAGAAGGACTAGGGGAGACATGAGAGCAGTGTTCCAATATCTCAGGAGCTGCCACAAAGAAAAGGGAGTCAAGCTATTCTCCAAAGCACCTGAGGGCAAGACCAGAAGCAACGGGTGGAAACTAATAAAGGAGAGAAGCAACCCAGAACTAAGGAGAAATTTCCTGACAGTCAGAACAATTAATCAGTGGAACAATTTGCCTCCATAATTCCACCCCGTGGCCAGGGGTGCCTTTTATCAGGTTCGCCTGATCCGCCAGTTGCGTCCCTTTCTGGATCGGAACGCCTTGCGCACGGTCACTCATGCCCTAGTTACCTCCCGTATGGACTACTGTAATGCTCTCTACATGGGGCTCCCCTTGAAAAGCACCCGGAGGCTCCAACTGGTCCAGAACGTAGCCGCGCGGGTGATTATGGGCGCAGCTTGTTACGCCCATGTAACACCTCTCCTACGCGAGCTGCACTGGCTCCCGGTGGTCTTCCGGGTGCGATTCAAGGTGTTAGTTATCACCTTTAAAGTGCTCCATGGCTTAGGACCTGGGTACCTACGAGACCGTCTTTTGCCACCAATAGCCTCCCACCGACCATTTCGTTCTCACAGGGAGGGACTACTCAGGGTACCGTCAGTCAAATTATGTCGACTGGCGACTCCCAGGGGGAGGGCCTTCTCTGTGGGGGCTCCAACCCTTTGGAATGAACTGCCCCCGGAGATACGGAATATCCCTGATCTCCGTGCTTTCCGCCGTGCCCTCAAGACCCTGATGTTCCAACAGGCAGGGCTAAACATACAAACATGCGAATGATTTTTTAAATGTTATCTAATTCTGGGTTTTATTTAATTGACCAAACTAAGTAACAATTTTAATTAGCAATTTTATGATGTTTGTGTGTCTATATTTTTCTTGACTGTACACTGCCTTGAGTCCTACGGGAGAAAGGCGGTATAGAAATATAATTAATTAATTAATAAATAAATAAATTAATTAATTAATTAATTAATTAATTAATTAATTAATTGTGGGTGCACCAACACTGGAAGTTTTTAAGAAGAAATTGGACAACCATTTGTCTGAAATGGTATAGTTTTTCCTGCCTGAGCAGGGGTTTGGACTAGAAGACTTCCAAGATCCCTTCCAACTCTGTTAATCTGTATTATTCTGTATTCTAAACAGAGGCAAAATTTCAGCAGCACAGCTTTTCTTTTCCTGAGTGCAGTGAGTCTGTAGCAGGCTGGAGAAATTAATTGTTGAGCAAATAAATAAATAATAACTTACACATTACTTGTTTCTTTGTTCAATGTTTAAGCAGCCTCAATCGCCCAAGCAACTGTAGGTATTGTGCAAGATATGAAAAACAAAAATTTTGTGCTTCCCAACCATGTCAACTTTAAAATGGACTTCAACTCTCAGAATTCCTCACCCAGTATACATGTTGGGCAGGGAATTCTGGGAATTGAAGTCTATTCATCTTGAAGTTGCCCAGGATGGGAAATACTGCATAAATAGAAAACAGTAATAAATGACAAGAATGACAAAAAGAAAGTTATATTACAATATTGAGGAGGGCAACACCAGGAACTAAGGGAAGAATCCCCGGATCCCAAAGCTCCTTGCCTCTTGACCTGATGAAAGAGCCATGTCTCAAAACCTTTCCAGAATGACCACAAAGTTGAAGCTATCATGTGGGCTTTGAGGAGGACTCCTTCTCTTACGATGTCTCTGACCAACATGATTATTGTCTATAGACCCTGATGCTGTAATGTATCTTTTCTTTTATGTACACTCAGAGCGTATGCACCAAGACAAATTCCTCGTGTGTCCAATCACACTTGGCCAATAAAGAATTCTATTCTAATCATCAGAGTTAGATGTTCATAAAGTTCCAACAGAAAATGGGGATGGGGGAAGAGTTAACTCCCAACACAACTGATTTTTGGCCAGGAGAGCTCTGCTTCTTAAGAAGAGGTTCCAGAATTTTTATTTTTAAACAGATTCATGGCCTGAACAATTTTGAAAACTCTGTTTTAATTTACCAAAGGACCATTCTACTTCTCTCGCAGTTGAATTCTCCACTGAGTCCTGTAAAGACAGAGGGGGCCTTTGTGTGGGAGGGATGACTTATTTCTGCTAGGAATGCATTATGATTTTTTTTTAACCTTTGGGATTCTTGTAGTTATTTTTTATTTTTTTTTATTTTTATTTTATTTCTATACCGCCCTTCTCCCACAGGACTCAGGGCGGTGCACAGCCAAAATAAAACATTGTATACAAAATTTAAAAAACAATTTAAAAACAATTAAATAATTGTGGCCCAAATAATTTAAAACAACCCAAATTAAAACCGAATCAATTAAAACTGAGAGGACGGGATCAAGCCAGCCCAGCTAGATGGAATAAGTGTGTTTTTAGGGCCTGACGAAAAGTTATGTTGGTAGGTATGCATTTAAAAAAAAACAACTTCAGCATGAGTCAAACATTGAACTTCTTCCAAAGCCATGTACTTCTGTGGGCAGATGAAGTGAAGCGAAATTCAGAGAGTTGTATAAGTGGAGAAACAAGAAACCTTGGGAAAGCAGCTGAGTGATTTCTTACAATCAAAATGGGATCCAGACATTTGGCTGCCTGAGATGTAGGACAGGATGTCCCCTTCCTAATTCTAGGTGTTAGAAGCCAATCTAATCAATGTTTAACTTTTGACTTCAGAATATCAAGAATTGGGACTTATCTTCCAGCAGAGCTGAAGTTGACAAAGAAGCTTAGGGAGCATAGAGCAAAGGAGATTGATTGATTAATGTGCTATCAAGGCAGTGTCAACTGTTAGCAACTGGGTAGTTAGATTTTTTTTTTCTAGGACAATCTGCCCTCAATCTGGTCCTTTGGGTATTCCAATGATGTACCATTGCTGTTGTAACTCAGTCCAGCCCAGGGGTGAAATCCAGTAGCTTCTGACAGGTTCTGGAGAACCGGTAGCGGAAATTTTGAGTAGTTCGGAGAACTGGCAAATACCACCTCTGGCTGTCCCCAGAGTGGGGAGGGAATGGGGATTTTGCAGTATCCTTTCCCTGTCACGCCCACCAAGCCATGCGCACGGAACCAGTAGTTTAAAAAATTTGAATTTCACCACTGGTCCAGCCACTTTGCTATTAGTTGTCTATGGAGATTCTCAGTCACTGAGATTCTCAGTCATTCAGTCTCTTTGCTATTAGTTGTTTTTCCTCCCTCTCCCTTCCTTCCTCTCTATCTCCCCCTCCCCCTCTTCCTCCTTCCTTCCTTCCTTCCTCCCATCACCCATCCTTCCTTCCCCTCTCTCTCCCTCCTTCCTTCCTTCCTCCCATCACCCTTCCTTCCTTCCCCTCTATCTCTCCCTCCCTTCCTCCCTCCCTCCCATCACCCACCCACCCACCCACCCTTCCTTCCTTCCTTCCTTCCTTCCTTCCTTCCTTCCTTCCTTCCTTCCTTGGTATTATTGACTTCTCCAACCTGATTATTTGTGCCTCAAGTAAGAATTCTGGATTATTTGTTTTGATAGACCACGTGTGTGTGTTTTCTTGGTTATATATATCTTGACAATAGTTCAGTTTGAATTTTTTTTAAAAAAAAAATTTGATTTATATGCCGCCCTTCTCCGGAGACTCAGGGCAGCTTACAATGCGTTAAGCAATAGCCTTCATACTTTTGTATATTTATACAAAGTCATCTTATTGCCCCCACAAACTGGGTCCTCAATTTACCTACCTTAGAAAGGATGGAAGGCTGAGTCAACCTTGAGCCTGGCGAGATTCGAACTAGCAGTAATTGCAGACAGCTGGTGTTAATCACAATGCTTTCAGTCTGCTGAGCCACCAGGCCCCTAGGACAAGAATTCTTGTCCTGGATAAAATTGGGATCAGTCATGTAAGTGGTCTGTTCCGGTTCCGTAATCGGGGGTATCCATAGGGAGAGGAGACAATAAAAATTTGCACGATCATGGTGTTAGCCCCTTTCCTTCACGGATGCTGCCATTTTGCA